CGACTGAGGATAAAGGGGATGGCAGCAGTCCGGCATCTCCACACACCGATCGGCCACGTAACTTCAACAGAGTCGGTCCCGTATCGCTTTCCTGCCTGCCCTTCCCTCAGTGCAGTCAGTGAGACCAGAGATATGTTAGTCATTGCCCTACTGATGTCTCACTACTTTTGTTGCCGATCAATGCGAATGTAACCACTAACCAGTGCATTTGCGCGCGTGTACTGTGTGTATCGATCAGCTATAGACGTTCCCAAAATAGCTGCAATGCTACCTACCCTCACACGTGACACGTCCCACCCGATGTTCTGTTGCTGGAAGCTAGAACCACCTCACAACGCACCAGTAGCCTGACCCGTACATTGCGATGAAATGATATTTAAATACCAGCAACCGGCCATGGCCACAGTACAACAAAAAGCATGACTCACGTCTGATTCGGAAACTCGTTTGATGTTGTTTCGAAATCTAACGCTCCCCTAAAACGCAGACGCATGCACTCTCTTCAGAGCCAGACGCCCCTCTCACCACCGCGCTGAAAACGCCTCGATTAGACGTCTGTTACGTGTATTTGACGCATCGCACCGTTTGTATCGCACTTTGTGTCACGCAGATGACTGCCCGGTGCGGTGTGAAACACACACGGAGCAGACGTCCTTCGACCCCGTCCAGCCAATCAGTCCAGCTGAAACAGAGACAAACACAGCAGTCAGCACAGGACACACCAGGGGAGTCAGCGTACACGGATAAAGAGATGGAGTTTGAGTTGATAAAGAAATTGAGTAATTGAGTAAATTGAGTTGATAAAAAATATCCTAAAACTCCCACCTATTTATAAAAATGAAACTTAAGCTTTGATTTCAAGACAACTAATGCAAATGTTGCATAAAAGCGTTTACAGATTAGGCAAGTAATTTTTGAATGCCTAAAAAGTGCGCAGTAAAAATGCCCCGTCCGCTGAGCGTGTTGGACTCAGTGGCACCATTCCTAACGAAATTGCAAGCAAAAACGCGTCACTTGTTCATTAGCGAACAGTGAGGCTCCTTCCCGAATTAAATCAAACGAGGCATTTCTACATTTCGTCCGGTCCTATCTAATGAGAACAATTAGGTAATATCCAAACAGCAAGCGGATGTATTCCATGCCAAACAATCGCTCAAAGCCATCGCCCACTGCGCCCCACTGCTGTCGTGTTCAGCACCGCAGTGCGTAGTTCTCTCACGCTCAGACCAAACTGTAGAGACACGGAGCAGTCGGACGGGCAGTTCACGGAATTTGGCGCGACACGCGGCGGTGAGGTGAGCCCGTTCCCAAACTTTCGGTCAAATCGGTCTAATCCCATGTAATTCAAGTCATCTTAATTCTTCTACGCCTGACGCCATGTAGCATCTACAAAAAATTATGCTCTGTGGCAACGAAGTTTATTTTCGGCGATGATCTTGACCATTTTTTTTAAATTAACGAACACCGGAAAAAACATATGTCGATCATTTACGCTTGCGAGCTTTTAAATAGGTTACTGCTTCTCGCTGTAGTTAAGCTTTCCTGATCACCAGGAGTCACACAACCATCCCCACACGCATTAACCCTCGCCCGTAAACGGTGTTTTGCCACCTTCGCCCATGCAGGGTGGGGGGTGGGGGGTGCGACACCCCCCCTGGCGTTTGAAAACGGAGCGTCGTAGAGCTTAGCAGAAAAGACCAACGGATTGCTCTCAACGAGATCTCGCGATTGGTGGTATATTTTTTGGTCCTAGGTCAACATTTGACCTACTTATGACCGGTCAAAGGTCAAATTTTCGGAAAAATCTAATTTTTCAGATTTCCGCGTCGATTGCGGCAAAACGGTAAGAGATATCGACTTGAAACCTTCACTATCGTGATCCTTGATCAATTCTCTATCGTTTGGTGTGTATTTCGATGTCATAACTCTAAAAATGATGCGTTGGGAGCATCGGAAGTCTGCAAGGTCATTTGTGCATTGGGTCACGTCAGGCGTGTGACGTCACTGACCTGACCCTGACCCAAAATGAACTACAAGAAACAACCGACGATGCCTGAAATGGATAGCAAATTCGAATTCAGGGCATCAAAATACCCCGAAAAGGCATACAAGTGCAAGAAGTCATTACAGGTCAACCGAGGTCACTGACCTGACCTTGACCTTAAGTAACCTTGAAAAGGTCAACGGACATTGTGCCAATGTCAAATCAGCCAGTTATGATTCTAAAACAATCCATCAGTGTGTCAGGTCAGTCGGCATTTATACCAATGTGAAGCCATCTCCAATTTAGCGTAAATCTGGCCGGAGGTTGTTCCCTTTATGACGTCATAACTCCGTGACCTGACATGACCTTGACAAAAAAAAACAACAAAAGTTGCGCAAAGGATGATCCATACATAGGGTACTGAAAATTTGAGCAGGCTATCTGAAACGGTTCGGCGTGTAGCTAAGAAAAACCTCAGGGGGGGGGGGGTGCACCCCCCCCCCCCTACATGGGCGAGGGTTAAATGATAGCTGAATTGGTAAAGCTGAGTCTGTGGGTGTGGTGGTGAGCACGGGTGGCTACTTTGCTGGAGTCTCACCTTCTTGAATCCGATGTCCTTGGCATACTCGCGGAAGCACTGACGGCAGACGTTGAGGCCGTACTTCCGGATCAGACCGTGCCGGTTGGAGCACGCCCGGCTGTAAGAAACAAACAGCGTCAGTGACAGAAAGAGATGAAGGGACACCCGGCAGAGATCACCAGAGGTCAGATAGATTATTCAGCTATGTATCAGGCATGTGCACTATTTATAAATTTTGTCAAGTTTTCAGCCCAGCCCAAGCAGGCACCTCCAAGGCCCAGTATTGCTATGTGACGATCAATGACATGGGTTTATTGGGCGCCTGGACTGCAGCGGTCGTCGGCAACCACAACACCAACACATTATTAAGACACAACCCTAAAATCTCTTACAGCCAGACTGTCTAAATCTGGATGGGACATTCGTCCCCTGCCTAACCTGCCTCATGAATTGGTGTGCATCAGTCACTGCAAAAGTCACATCCCACCAGCTCCACAACCACAATTGACCCATCAGTTCGGCACGCGACCAACAGCATATGCTAAAAAAGCCAGACACTGTTTGGTCTGGACAGGGAAAAACGAGGACCTTGCATCTTTAGTGAAGTTCTGGTCTGGTACCCATTATCACATGTACATAAATGGCTTCCAGTCAGTTAGAGTTACTGTACAACAGCACAGCCACAGATATCTCAGATTTATCAGCATGGATGGAGAAATATGCCGAGTTGGGGTTGCACGGGCGCAGCAAATCACGTGTGATAGCAGCACGCTGCTATCACACGTGTCAAATTGGGTTTCCATGGAAACATCAACAAACCATGCCGTCGTCAATTTGTGTGATGTCATCAAATATTGCTGCTAACATCTTCACGACTGCGCAATGTATCAAACACATTCAACGAGACAGCAAGTCTGTTCCAAACGTAGCTATGAAAAAGCTCACGGATTACACGAAACGTCATTAGTGTGACGTCATCACATTACGTCAGCTCGCGCAATTTGATAGTAGCATGCATGCTGCTATCACCGGTGAAACAGGGCCCAGAAGGCCTTAGAATATCTTGTGAATGGCTTTTATATCAGTCTGTTTTGCGGACCTAAAGTAAATAAATACCAATTCCACACCTTAGATTGGCATTATCATCGTATTCATTTTCCATCCAGTTCGGCAACAATACCCAAAAGATTCTATTTGCCCCGAAAACAAACTTGTGCATCTTGTTGCCACACAAGGCATACCCTTCGGGTATTCATTACTCACGTCCACTGAGGGCTGTAACTACTGTGAGTCCCCTGCTATAAGAATTCCTAACTACCTGCTGCACTTCTCAAGACAACAAATGTAAAGTAACAATAGTTGAATAACTGTGCAGTGGAAGCACACTGCAAATGTGATTCATAAATTGCTTAATTTTGGCATAATCCCAATTGAAAGTAATTCAAATTTTAACTTTGACTGGTAGATATCGACTTCAGGTGAACATCGAGCGAGCCACAAACGCCGCAAAATACTCTTGCAGGACTTCATTACCCTCAAACGCAACGACATCTTCACAAGTTCGTACAAATAAATTTCAACTTACCAGCACCGGGAGCCGGCACCATACTTCCTCGGGTGCGAATACCAAATCGTAGCGAAAGGCATTTTGACGGCGGGGCGTCTTCACTTGTCGCAGCGGAACCGGAAAAAGAGCGACCAGAGGTGCCTTTTCTGTAAACATATTTGAAAGCTACCATATCACTCTTGCACGCTACCATATCCAGGTATTTACCGTGTTGCCTTTATGCTATGAAGGTTTAGTAGCAAACACATGGCGTGACTCAGCGTGACCTTTCACACAAACTCACGAATAATGTCTGCTGTGATTCTTGATTTACATACTTTGTCTGAGTTAGGTATTTGCTGCTTTACTGAGCCATATACCATATCAGCAGACAGCAATTCGTTTTTTTGACCTTGGCTTGGCCGTCCACTGCTCTCAGCTATCAAAAACCGGAAAAGTGGCGAGCAAGTACGGATCCGGGCCCACAGGCCAAAGCCTCATGCGCGTATTTTTCAGCATTTGCCTTTTGGTTCCAACACTTTTTTCAAACTGGGAAAAGATTACTAGCCCTGAAGCCAGGACGAATTTGCACGCTCAATGACAATGAGGTGCAAATGATATGTGCAACGACATAGTCATGGCCAACATTGAGAGCCACACGGAATGGCGTCGGAAAGCGCAAAGGACATTATTTTTTAAAGGTTTCCTTATCGGCACAATATGATTCCACGTCTGACTTGATGTCATGGAGGTTGACTTTTGATGTGTGAAGACAGTCCAAAATACCCCAGGGTAGCCAGTAAAGAGATCGTCGTCAGGCAACCATAACGGATAACATCACAGCGCAAGCAAAAATCTGGTCTACTGGCTTTCGGTCGTCTAAAGATCGCTTTCACATTGTCCTATATTTGCATTAGTACATGACGGCAGCACAATAAGCCAGCCAGGGCGCTGGTAGAACACGGGCAATAACACAGACTGATGGTGACGGCTCTCTGGGCGGCTCACATGATGTTGTTTGCCACCTTGTTATTCTGCGAGGAGCTGCACGCCTGTCCCGAGTCGTCTTCGTGCTGGGTCTTGGTGGCTTTCTGGACATACTGCGGCTCCAGCTGGATCTCCTCGTCCAGCTGCTGGAGGCGCCGCTCCAGCGCCATGATTTGCGCCAGCTCGCGCTCCAGGCGGGCCACCATCTCGGGCGCCGCATACTGCTCGGGACTGTCCTGGAAGCGCACCATGCCGTCCCGCTGGTCGATGGCCGCGAAGATCTCTCCCTCCTCGATCATACCGAGCACGTGGAGCTCGGCTTTCTGTGCGCTGGGCAGCTGCGCGCGCGACGCCACGTCCGAGAGTGACAGCGTGACGAACGTCTTTGTCAGCCGCTGAATGTTCATCTTGTTGTGGCTGGCCACCACCTGTTTCACGAGGCCGGTGTTCTGGTCGCGCGTGAACTGCTCCTGGTGGCGCGTCACCACCGCCAGCAGCGGCTCGGGACTGCGCTGCGCGAACGCCGTCGCCAGCTCGACGTAAGGCACACAGAACGGCCGGATGCGGCGACCCATGGTGGTCCGCGCCACCTCTGAGTAGCAGTGTTTGGGCGGCGGCGCCTCCACCCGCAGGATCAGCGTCAGCAGGATGTGCTTCTTAAACGCCTCCACCATAATGTGACTGAGTGACAGCGACGGCACCGAAAAGTATATCTCAAAGCAGAACAGCGCACGCTCAAATTGCTTCACCGCCGTATATATCAGACCACCGTAGTAATAGTACAGAAGGAGGTGTCGCGACTCGAACTTACCATTCTCTTTGCTAATATCGGCAATGTCCACGTCTAGCACGTCCAGCGCCGGCCTAAAACACTTGGCACTGAGCGCCAGGTGACAAAGGTCCGCGTGGATTGAGGTCAGCTGGTTGGGACTGGCCTGGATCTTGGCGATCGCCTGCTGGAGCACGCGCAGGCCCTTGATGGCCTTACTACGCTCCAGCAGCTTCTTGGTGTAGAGGTGACACAGTTCGGCGTACGAGTCCGGCGCGTAGCGGATCTGATCCACGGCACAACCCTCCACAAACTCGGCCATTTGTCGGTCGAGGGTGGCCGGTTCGCCGGCGCCGGCCTTGAATCGCGCCAGCAGCAGCGCCAGGATGCCGAGAGAGTGTTGCCCGAGTTCCAACGACGACAGCGCCGCCTCCAGGTGTGTGGTGTTCTTGGAGAGCATCTCGGACGAGTTCTCCAGGAACTCATACAGGCAGCTGAGGTTGCCCTGGGACGACAGCGTCTTGACGCTGTTGACGAACGACTCCAGCGGAAAAGACATGGTGATGGTGTTGCTGCTGCTGCTGGTGCCGGCTCACTAGAACATCAGAAAGAATAGGTCGTGTCAGTAAAATAAGGCGTTAAGATGCCGAGTTATGTAACGGGGAGTGGGGAGTGACTTTCAGAGAGTGACATGTCGAGTAAACGGTTAACGTCATAAACAAGTAACGTCGTAAATAGCTTACGACGTTAATGTTAACCGACCGTTAACCAGTACACGGTCAACACTGTTGACCGTCAACGTCGACTCGAGAGTGACCTGACATTGCTTTAATTTATGATTTTGAGGTGTCCGCACTTCAGAGGTCAGCAGCGCCACCTCCCGAATATGCGGTTGGTGTCACAAAATAGAGGATTCTTCATGAATCAGGGTGGAAGATTTAGGATCACTTTTCCGAGCTAGTTGCCGAAAAACCAAGCGATGAAAGAGCAAGTTTATCTATTGTTTCGCTGAAGGCTTGTAGTTGTGGCTGATATATCTGAAAACATTTTAACCCTCGCCAGCACAGGCCATTTGTGCAGGGAGTCCTTACTGACATTTAGGTCATTGACCTGAGCTGCATGCAAGGTCAGCCAATGACCTAGGACCTTTACATCACATACAATTGGCTTTCTCTGATGACAAATCCATTCAGCTCTTCCTTGATCAAAGGTGAAACGATTTAGAGGTCTGATAAAAAAAACACTTCCCCTGCCTCATATAGGTAGGTACCCACATTAACCACTGCAAAAATGCCAGGAAAATCACCCTTATAAACAGCACTGAAGAGTGTGTGGTAAAGACAAGAGTGTGGTGGTTGGCTCCAAGGCCCTAAAACATATGGCCCAATAAACAACATCCTTACACACAGTTGTCTGTCTCATTAGCAGCCTTGGAGTGGGAGCTCAGAAGTGCCTGCATGCCTGAGAATTGAGATTTGAGAATGAACACCTGGGTAAGACTGTCATGGCCTTGTTTGATGTTTCACCACACAACACTACAAAGTGCTATCAGAGCATCATTAAGTTGCCATTTTTATAAGCATGCTGCCAGTGTTCCCAAATAAAAGGAAGTTCATTACTGGCATAATGCCAGTAGTGAATACTTGGCCTCTAATTAGTCTACCACACAGACCATGTGAAGCCAACCAATGAGAAGCCAAGAAACATTGGCTTGCTCTGTCCTCACAGCCTGCTGATAAAAAACAGTAACTGTGACCCTTGACAGAACAGTGGTCAATAGTGTCAGTGTTAGTTCTTAGATTATATGGAAACGTAACCAAAATGGGCAATTCTGCTCATGTTTCCATGAAAACTGAGCACCACTACTGTCTACTGGTACCTGGTACCATCAGGTAGCATCAATTACCTGAATCAGAGGGCTGTTCTGCTAAACAGCAAAAATGAAATATGCTGCAGCACGCATGCTCTGTGAGGGCTGTGGCTCCCTTTATTTCCGCCCACACTACTGTGTCACCGCCTGTGTGACGTCACCTACTGAAGCATACTTCTCTTTCCTGTAGCACAAATAACTGCAGGAGACGAAAGTGGCAAGGATTAAAGTTAAGTGTCCAATATTTCTTATTGTAAGTGGTTTGCATGCTGTTTTTGGGGTACCTATCATTATCACTCTTTCAGTGGCACATTGCTATTAACCACATTTGAACACATTTAAACGGTTATTTCAGTGACAATCTCCAGTCCCCCCGTGCTACAGTTTGCTGCGTATGAAATAGGCTGCAGCAGAGCTTGCCTCTGGCGTGCTGGCGGAGGGTAGGCGCCGCGGAGCCAGTCAGGTGATGTCATCCAAGTATGATGCACGCAGCACAGGCCACAGATTTATGCTGCAGAGACCCGAACAGCCCTCAGGACCCAGAGACCCATTCAACTACATAGGTACCCTGTACCGGCTACTGCCACTGGGGATCTCAACAAAATGTGCCATATTTCACAGTCTTGGCCCGCAAAGACTTACAAACGCATTAGGAATCTCCCAGCTAATTGAAAAATATACAAAATATTATTACAGTAGGCACCCACCAAACTTTCTGACTTACATAATGTTTGTTACAAACGGCAATTCTACGTGAAAATTAAACTTATGAAATTATTGAATGTTTGTTATCGATCAGACAGAGACAGGAGATAGATGCTGAGTTCCTTACCTCAGTTTACTACATCAACGGCTACTGAGTCTTGTTTTCAAGATGCAAAGCCCCTCAGAAATTCGCTGTAAATGAAAAACAATCGCCAGAATGTCCTAAGCCTCCTTATCCGCCGGTAACAAATGCATTCACCGTATTTGTATTCTTGCGTCTGTTTTGTCGCACTGTATCAAGGATTGTACTTAAGTTTACTAAAACGCTGCAGTTTAGCGAGTTAAAATTTCACGAAATTCTTACTATACAGTCGTCGGCATATATCCTAAAGTTTCGGCAATACATACAGTCTACCGTGTTACCTACTTCTGGCGCGCGTATTACTATTTCGATGTTGTTTTACTCAAGAATAATATTGGCGAAACTTGGCCTCTAAAAAATTTGGCATAATCCAGTTCCACCCCAAGATTCTTACAGACAGTTTCACCTAGCCTCAGGCACGTACCCAGGATTTCGCCCAGGAGGGGGCCACCTGCTTTCGAAGGGGCCCCCACAGTGTATAGGGCCCCCAGGTTCCCCGGGGGCCCCCGGGAGTCATGAAGAACCTTTCGATGGTGGGGGGGGGGGGGGGGCGGGGGGCACAGTGGGTCCGGTCTCTCCTGCAGACGTATAGGTGAGAAAACGCCATGTGTGTGGGAAAACGCAATTCAGTTCTTTACAACCTAATGTAGCATTTGGTTGTGATTTCTCGCGTTCAACTTCATCAAAGTCAATTAAAACGGTCTCTGTAACGATCTAAGCCTTGAGAAAATGTTAAAAATTGGAAAGTAAAAATATTTTTGCTTGAGGAGTGTGCATGAAACGCACGGCATTTTATGAGCGAGCGCCTCAATTACTGAACATCCTCCAATTCCGGATATGTAGGTATATAATAATAGTGGGGATTAAATGTCTCGTTATCGGAATTCCACTATCTGGCAACTAGCCCTATGTAAACGCGGCTATTATATGTTTCACTAGGAATCGAGCGCAATTGTACTTTTAGCCAGAAAATAAATGCTTGGGTAATTCTGGGACACTCTGTATTAATTGGAGGAATAGGACTTAGGAGGAAATGCGATTGCAAATCGACCCACATCCCTGTGTTAGCTAATGACGCCTTTGGGGCCAAGGTTGGGGGGTACTCAGTTTAGCCTTTTTGTTTTTCTGTGATATCTCCGGCACCGTAAAAGATATTGGCTCCTTCCGATGAATGCCTACTCCAGTCACTACTTATATCCAGTAGCCAGTAGCCACTCAGATGATTTGGGATCAATCCGGTGATTAGCGTACTTTCAGACGACCAGGGGCCCCCAGGCGACCAGGTCCTCCAGATGACTAGGGGCCCCACTGCCCCAGGCGACCAGGGCCCTCCAGGCGACCAAGGGCCAATGCGATCAGGTCCCCAAAGCGATCAGGGGCCCCCAGGGGACCCCATGCGACCAGGGGGACCCATGCGACCAGGCCCCCGGCTACCAGGGGCCCCCAGGCGACCAGGGGCCCTCTAGGTGACTAGCGGCCCCCAGGCGATCAGGGGCCCCCAGGCGACCAGGGGATCCCAGGCTACCAGGGGCCCAAGGCGACCAGGCCCCCGGCTACCGGGGGCCCCCTGGGTGTCTAGGTACCCCCAGGCGATCAGGGGCCTCAATATCATGCGACCAGAGCCCCGCCCCCATGCGACTAGGGCCCCCTAGGCGACTAGAGGCCACAGACTATCAGGGGCCCATACGACCAGGCCCCCGGCTATCAGGGCCCCCTAGGCAACTAGGGGCCCCCAGTCGATCAGGGGCCTCATGCGACCAGAGGCCCCCCCATGCGACCAGGGCCCCCTAGGCGACTAGGGGTCACAGGCTATCAGGGGCCCCATGAGACCAGGCCCCCGGCTACCAGAGGCCCCCTAGGCGACCAGGGGCCCAGGAAACTGGGGGCCCTTGGATGACTGCAGGGGCCCCTCGGGTACCCAGGGCACATAAATGAAACTTTAATATCAATTTTTCTTCCGAGTAAAAGACGTTTTATCCAGTGTTTAAAAAATATCCTGGGGCCTGAGGGGCCCGGCGCTCAGGGGGGGCCTTGGCCCCCGTGCCCCCCCCCCCTTGGGTACGTCACTGCCTAGCCTACGCTCGCTAACCCAACGCTTTTAAAACGGTTTCATCCACGTCTGCTAAACCGCCTCCTCTAGTGCACGACGCCGCAGTCCACACTTCGTTCTTCAGAAAGAGCGAAGATAATATTCAGGTAAAATCCTTTCCCAGACAATCTCATCTCACCCTGTCGAGTACCTATCTCAAAGCCGGTTCAACTGAGTTAGCCATCTAGGAGTTTTGAAAAAAAAAATCAGTTAACTCTCTTCGGTTATCGCCTCACTTCCGTCTTGCAATATCATCAGAGCTGGGCCAAGCGGAAGTATGAATTAAAACTCCCACCAATAATAACTGAACACCTCAGATGACACACAGATGTAAAGCAGCAGTCATACAGGCAGCAGTTACTCGTCGTTTACTTAATAGTCCCAATCGCAATGAAAAGACCGGTCGATCGTTCGATTTAGCACTACGTCAGAGGTGCATCCTGCCGATTGTCATTTATGTGTCTACTCCACTCCTGATAACGATTCCCAGCGAATCGTCTGTCTCTGAACGCCTCCCGCCCCGAGTTACCACATACGATTACGCATTATACTCTGGTGACCGATCAGTTATTTGAACTGGGACTTGTGGTTCCTCAGAATTGAGCGCATTGCAATGCGTCACTCAAACCAAACACATCGTCTTTTCGTTAAGCTTTATCGTGTAGTTCGAGTGCAGATTCTCTTAGCCAGCGAGCACCGACGGCCGCCTTGGAGGCATGCGGAATGCGGGCCGGATCACAGACGCCAAGGAACGTGACAACAAAACACTGCCGGCACCAGGCATGACGCAGCACACAACATATAAAACCACCCACCGGGCGGACGCAAACCCGTCATGATAAAACTCAGTTCAAGCCCGGTTGGAAACACCTGTGAAAGCATGCCCTTCTACTATGCCGCAGCCCGACATCGCGACAAAGACAATATCGATCGCTTATGACAATACAGATTATATAATACTAAACGGACTTGCAAATCCTACTTCAAACACGACTCTAGCTCCAAATAAGATTCAATCTCGCTACCACTCGGTAAGCAGGTTCACTGAATTCCCTTGTGTGTGATAGAAAAGGCGCAGCTCTGGAGCGCAAGTGGCGTTAAAGCACCCTTCCATTTTGGAACTGCAATCGGGCTGACGTCCAAAACGCGAGCAAGGAAGCGACCAGCAGACATCAATTGGGCTACATATCAACTCGCTGTATGATAGTGATAAATCTCAGCATGACCCTTCTCAAGGAAGTCATTATCCATCTCATTTTGAAATACCTACCTTACCGTAGCCAGCGCCAACAGAAAAAGCGCGAACCTAATTAAAGCTGTGCTTTTCATGGTCGCCCAGTTTACTTCTTTTTCACCTTAGGCGAGGACGTGGACTGGAACACGGAGGAAGCCTGCATCAGGTTCTCGATATACTGGCCCAGAACCTGATTCTCCGACCGAAGCTTCAGATTTTCTTCCTTCACGCTGTCCACACGCTGCGACAGGTCTGGAACACCGGCCAAAAGAAGAACGTTATGACAACAGTCTAAAGGTTCAGCATCGCTCACAAACAGCAAAACATACGACCAAATATGCTGTCGGTACCTAATCTGCGGGCATTATATTACACTATAAATGCCTGTGTTGAGCGACACTGCGGGCCCAATGCCTAAGTGACGCCGTTAACTTACCGTCCAGCGTGTTCTGCAGCTCCAGCACCTGCGAGATCAGGCGCGCCTTCTCCTCTTGTTCGTCGGGACTCAAGTCTGGATCGAAACCTAGCGCAGATGAGGAGAATAAGTCATTTACGAAACGTTCATCAAACTACTCACTTTTCTATGAATCGGCCAGCGGGCAAGTCTGGTGAGTCATGATGAATAATTTGGTAAAAATGACATAAAATGGAATCGGCTGATCGCCGTCATTTCGAGTGCGCCGAACGACGCACGTCTGGTCCAGCAGAAGAGCCCGACCCACCCGCAGACGGCGAAGTAGCTCTGCCAGCTAATTCATCAACATCCAGTGTATTTAGCCAACTCATTGAGGATTCGAAAAAGCTAGCCCCAATAGACTTCGATGTCCAATGGGTAGAAATATTTGGCGCAAAACCAAAACACTGAATATGAGTGGTAGTATCCTTTACATTGTGCATTGCTGAATTAATTCCACTGATGAATCCAACAAAGCAGCAACTAACCAGTAACCACACTGAAGTCCAATTGACCACAAGCTCATATGCATGTCAAAATCTATGATTATCAGTTATCACGTTTATCAATTAGGCTGGGAGACTTGGATTGCCACACATGCCAGTAACTACAGTTGCTGAATAGACCAAAATATTCAAGACCATATGAGATCAGAAAACCACATTTTATTTGCTGCAACTCATCACTCAACACTGTAATTAGGTGTGTTTTGTGAAGGACATTATGTGAACTTTGTAAATGTAACAAGCTAATTGGGACTGCTCCACAAGAAATTGTTCGGGCTGGAGCTTTCCGATGGTATTCACAAACTTCGTCAGCATTTTGCAGGGGTTCGTATCTGTCGAACGATAACTTTTTGCGACCGACAAAATTTGCAACTGATAGCCTTCAAATCATATTATGAAACGTTGACAAATTTTTTTGTTTAAACTTTTTTGTGACCGATAGCCCCTGACCCAATAATGACAGAGGTAATGATAAACTTCTGTAAATAAAACTGGGAAGTTACAAAAATAAGATTGAGAAGTTTTTGCTATGTTTGTGAGGTAAAACTGAGATGAACATGATGAAAAAAATAAATTAACACATAAGACTATGAAACTTGCAGTTTCACAAACATTATCAACCTGAATCTCACTCACTGTGCAGACTGCCAGTGCCATTAGCCACTGCAGACGAGAGGGACTCGCAGCTTCGACCATGGTCAGCAGTGCTCTCTGGACTAGATGGCTCCTCTGGCAGTACCACCTGTGGGTCAGCATCTGCCAGTGGGATGCTTAGGTCGTCCCTCCCTCCTACAGACATTATAGCTTGCCAACAAAGGTGGTGACAATTGGTGTCTGGGTTTCTGGAAGGGAGAATAGTTGCATGTCAATGGTACATCAATGCCTTTTGACAAGTGTCTTAAACATCTCACTAGAAAACAAATCTTCATTCAAATTGATAATTTCTCCTGAACATCTTCATCGCCATGGTACGGAAAACATTGAAACGACAAGTCGCACATGCTCAAGCTGCAAAATTGAATGCTTCTTGACAGCCTTCATGCAAAAGCTAATGCTGTATGAAAATTTGTTTAATGGTATTCAGGCAAGGAGATTTATTATAACACAAGATAGCCTTTTCTAAGCACAATGGAAATTGAAATGGTTTTAGGAATTTGGGTGTGGACACAGTGCAACGTGATGGGATTTGGGAAGGCTTCTAACGGTTTCAAATAATAACTTTCCCCAAATTTCCACCTTCGAGATAATCTATGTTCTAATGAGGGACACCTCAATACCCCTTCTGAAACAATAAAGAAAAAGATTATAACCTCCAGCTACCAACCAGACACAACAAACCACACCACGGTCATAAACCACACGGCGGTGCGCGTTACGCCGTTTCGCAAAACAATTGTGACCTAGGCATATATTGCGCAGTGTCGACATTTTGTAGGTATTTTATTTTGTTTTCTGCTGCTTACGGTGACTAATTTTAGCCAGTGATGCGAGCGCAGTCTGCCGTTGCCAGGTAACAAGATGATAATTTGTGTACGAAGTAATTTTTCGAACATATTATACATCTTTATGCTGCAGTAGCTGCCTATCCATTCATTCATTCATTCATTCATTCATTCATTTCAATTTCAAATCGCCCCAGGCGCCCTGTTTTCAGTTGGACGCAAGAGCCAAGCTGCTACGCGCCCTAACCCAGAACAACAGCCCTGTTTTCAGATTTCCCCATTCCACCGGTTCATTCATTCATTCGTGAATTCCTAGACTGGCGTGGTGCAATTCATTCGTGAAAAACGTGGCACTGGCCACTGTGTGAAGTTCAACTCGGTCTGTGACATGAAGGTCGTATTTTTCATTGTTATTGAATGCTTATACTTTTCCGATGCATCATGAACCCATTAATTTTAGTTTTACTGTGTTTCGCTTACCCCCTTGCCCCCACCCAATGAAATAACCATAAGCACTGCTCTTGCAGATGATTTTGTATTCATATTTCCGGAGTTCCTGCTCATGGAGGGTCAGAATAGGTGAGTATTTGCTACCTACCTAGTACCTACTGCCTGTCTATTTTTATTATTCCTATGGATTATGGCATGGAATATGAATATAAACAATGGCTTATTTTGATGGCTTATAGGATTTTGATAATTTCAATCCATCACTTTGGTTTGCAGACTGCTTTCCAGATCAAGATCATATGCATTAGGTTCTCTTTAGCATCATATACTGATAGGTACTCACAGATTGCAGCTCCTTCACCTGACAATTATGTTCATGCTTCATACTGGTACTGTTTTCATGACCAAACAGCAGTGACAGGTCATTTTCAATTTGATATTATGTTTGCCACAGATATCTTGATCTCAGCAGTTTACACAACCTAGAGGAAGTAGGCCTATTTTCACTTTTTTTGCCAGCATTCCATGTTCAGCCTCAGGCTTGTTAGGTACATTAATATATCACATTTCGATATTATTTTCAGCTCTGGCTGTGAAGGGGATTGACTATGAGTACCATCCTGTGAATCTCCTCAAAGGAGACCAATTGGTAAGATAAAGCAAATGAGTGGAGTTATTTGTAGTGCTTCAGCCTTTGCTGGTTTCTGAATGATAATGATGGTATAAATATTTGTCCATATTTGTACCTCAGATGTAGGTACTGGTGATTTTCACATCTGTGTAGGTACATTTTGTGCTTCAAAATGACTGCTGTACTTCATAATTTAGATGTACATTTTAACTTCCTTGAAACATATTTTGGAAATGCATGCTGAACTGAACTGACTTTGGTCTTTTCTCAGGCTGAGGATTATGACAAAATCAACCCCATGAAACAAGTTCCTTCACTTCAAGTCAATGGAAAAACCCTTACACAATCAGTAAGGCAGCTAGTGATGTTTCTTTTGTAAAAGTATCTTATTGAATGTTTTGCCTCTTTTTGGTTGCTTTGGTGTTACCACTGTTAGTGATGGTTGTCACACAGTATGATGTTATTTTTCTGGAAGATCTTTCAAGCAGGCGAGATAAATGTGGTCCTGTAGCTAAGGCTGCTTTTTTACTGTCTGCCTCCCAACAGATCAGCATTTTGGAGTACTTGGAGGAGACCCATCCGGAGCCGCCGCTGCTTCCCAAAGAACCCATCGAGCGGGCAAAGGTAGCGTAGCGACTAGCGCGTCCCGGAACTTCGCGTATAAGTGAACGCTGAATAGGCACGGCGATTATTTGATGACAGGGCATGCCGAGCGTGGGGTCGAGGCATATTTTTGGTTGATAGGTAGTAGGTACCGTTCTTGGCCAACCTGCTATGCCAAAGTTCCACTCATGCCCATAATTACGTGTAAATCCACCAAGCGCGTCCGATCTTCACCGTACACCGAACATTTCAGTCCGTCCACCGAGCTTTTCTAGTGTCCACCATCCACCAAGCCCGTCCACTAATCCCGCCTTGCCCATCGACTGATCTCGTCCAGCCCATCCCAGTCATGACTGATCCCGTTTACTGTCCCCTTTGTCCGTCCATTGCCCACCGTTCACTGAACCTGTTCAGTGAAAATTAGCCGTGTCCGTCCAGGGCACTCCACTGAACTCGTGTCCGTCCACTGAACTAGCCCACTGAGTCCGTCCACCGTCCCGCTGAGTTCGCCGGCCGCCGTCAGGTCCGCGAAATCTGCGAGCTGATCGGCTCTGGGATCCAGCCAGTGCAGAACCTGGCCGTGCTGAAGAAGGTGGCCGCTCTGGCCGGTGACGAGGCCAAAAAACAGTGGGGCCACGACGCCATCGCGCGCGGCTTCCGAGCGCTGGAGCCGCTGCTGGCTGACTGCGCCGGCAGCTGCAGTGTCGGCGACAGCGTCACACTGGCCGACTGCTGCCTGGTGCCGCAGATATTCAACGCCAACAGGTGAGAGATAGAAGGCTAGATGGACCGGGTGGAGTTTGGTGGGGTGGGTTAAATAGTATAGTGACATATATGTGACATATAAGTGCATGCATGGCCTAAATTTTTGAATTCATTTTAAAAGAAATAAAACGCAAAAATTACCCAACGTTTCGCATTTATGTCATTTGATAATCCTTAAATAGTATAGGTCCGAGGAGATGGTTAATAGCTATCGATGTTGGCTCGTTTGATGTGACTTGTGCATTTAAACAGCGCTTATTTGATTTGGCGGTTTGGACTTACTTTTTACAAACAAGGCGATATTTAGCAAGCTATTTGGTCGAACGTGGCCAAGTATAACTATGTAGTTATGCATGGCTAGACACATTCCTAGTTTTTTCGTCATACGAACTTGAAATTGAGTACATCTGTAACCGCCTTTAGAATGAACTTTACTCATGGCGCTTTATTTATGAGCGGCCTTTATTTATCCATGTCACGACCCGCTCTCCTCAGATTCGGTGTGGACATGTCTCAGTTTCCCACCATCAGCCGGGTGGGGGCACACCTCGACACTCTGGAGCCGTTCAAAGCGGCCCACCCCACCAAGCAGCCCGACTGCCCTGAGGAGCTCCGCTAACACTGCTCACACTGCCCTGTCGTCAGCGGAGAGCAAAGCTGAGGTGTCGGGGGCGCATCTGGAGAGGCAAAGTGCAATGCGATTTTCCGTCCCGAGAGAAAGTGCCATTTTTTTGTACTTAGCCAGATCTAAACGTTAGAACTGTTGAATTTGTAGCCAGACGTGCCATATATATTTTCGATTAAGTGCTCGGTGACTGGTGCCAACTTAAACAGCGTGTATGCTGCACTGATCGGCGATTCCGATCGGCTGTGCTTTGGTGTTGCGGTGTTTGCATCAATACTGATCCGATAATACTCGTTTGTGCAATTTATTTTGGAGAAACCCGCGGGCGTAATTTTGCGAATTTTATACTTCGTTTATAATAAACGGTGAAGGGAACTAGCCTCTGACGATCGCACAGTTCAGTAAGACGCTGCTCATAGAAATGAGACCGTATGCGCGAATCAAGTTAATCTGGAGCAGAAATCGAAACCCACGTTAAAACCTGACGTTCAAGTGCATTGTCTATGCGTTACAGCATAGACCTCTTGTTACAGTAAGTATCACATCACATGCACGTTTCAGTGTCTTTGGCGACGTGGATAGATAGCATGAAGGACGTGTATTGATACTGAGCAGTGAGCACAACGGTGAGTGGCTCGGATCACAAACACTTGAACACACTGGTAACACTTATAGAGCCCATACACAACTGAGTTGGGATTGGACTTCTGACGTGTGGTGAGCAAATTGATTGTGTATAAACTAAACATTAAAAGACGTCATACATGCATAATAGCGTGGGAGGTATGAACATTAAAACGAGGGTCCAATAATCGTTAAAAGTACAATATCGCTAAAAACTACAGGTGATGCAGTGAAGAAATGAAGACTAGATATAATAAAACTAAAACTATTATAACTGCAGTTGAAAAGGCCAACCGATGATACACAGCAAAGGTCTAAAATAGTCGCCTGTATCAATTGTCGGTCTTTACAGAGGATTTTCATGCGAGGTCGAACGTCGTGATCACTTTACCCAACCCACAATTCAAATACCGGGTACACAGCACACGATAAGGCCATGTCATCTACGCAGGAATGTCGGCAGGTGTTTTCCCGCATTTCAATGCAATTCAAGGTTAACATGTATCAAGACCGTCTTGACCTTTGACTTGAAAATCGACCACCATGATGCCAAAGATCACTATTTTATTCTTCGCTCTCGCGGCGGCTCTTGACACGCCCCACCTCCATCAACACGCACCTCTCCCACCTGCTCAGTCCGAGCCCGTGCCCTCCGCCTTCTCCTGCTGCCTGAACAGGGCGCTGAAGGCGGAGCCGGGGTCGGCCAGGAGCTGATCGGGCGGCCCCAGCTCCACGGCCTCCCCACCGGCCATGACCAGCACCCGGTCACACCAGCGGACAGCGGAGAGACGGTGACCGATACTGATGACCGTCTTGTGACGTAGACTGTCCTGCACGGTCGCCTGGGGCACGAGCACACACGGCAGTCAGATGTAACGCCCGGGTTCGAGAGACGGAGAAGCGATGAATGTTGCGCGCTAACAACTCCGTGAGCGTCAGCGACTCCGAGAGACCTCTTTCAGCCATAATAATTTAATTACTACGGTTTGTGCTCCATTTGTTGCATTCTGTCCTCTATGTGAGAACTTTGGTCTGTCCGTAAGTTGGGCGCAAAATGACCCCGGCAGTCGGCGCGCCCTAAAGGCTCCAATAAACAAACAAGGTCTGTCCGTAAGAATGGACCACTTAGCGATAAGATACAGAGACACTAGCCACTCTACCTGGATATAAACTACTGCGTGCCGGTATGAACCACTCCGTACCTGTACGAGCCGATCCGTCTCCGGGTCGAGGTTAGCGGTGGCCTCGTCCAGGCAGACCACCTGTGACTGACGGAGCAGGGCGCGGGCCACACAGAGCAGCTGACGCTGGCCCATTGACAGCTGACGGCCCTGCTCGCTCAGCTCCATGTCCAGGGAGCCAATAACCGGCCTAGAATTGCGTTACACGATCAATCAGGGAGTTTCGGAACGTGAGAAACCCGACCGGTGCACAGAGGTGGAAAAATGTTTAACTCAAATAAGATATTGCAATAAAAAAGGATTTCTAAATGGCACAGTTTTTTGTGCAATCCATGATAGATGAGAACGAAGAGGCGATGGATTTACATCGGCTTCCGAATTCCCTTCTATGAATCCAATTTCTTCCCGACCACTCCGACCGCTACGGCGCAAAAACAGATCGCAGCCACAGTGCTGCCATGAGACTGGGAGCGCTCAAGCTCCCCCCTCCCTCCCCCCCCCCTACGTAGCACTGCGAAACCCCTTATATCACTGTTTGAGGACCAGAAGCAGAGTTCTGAGCTGACCTACCTGAGGTGACACTCTGTGAGCGCCGCCCAGAGCAGTATGTCGGAGCAGAGGCCGCTCGGGTCCAGGTTCTGTCGCACGGTTCCGCTGTACAGGAACGGTTGCTGCGGGATCACCGACAGACTCCGCCTGGGAACAGAGAACAGATAGGGTAACTGTGAACGCAGGGTCGGGGCTTCAAGGCAGGCAGAGGATGATGAATGACGTCTTATACGAGAAACAGACTGATTCATTTCCCTGTGAAATCCTATTTGTTCGTGTGCAAACCAAGAAGTGCATTGAACTTTACGATGCACATTGCACAGCCACAAGATGAAAGCGAACTATTTAGCCAAACATAAATCGACGTCCGAAAGGAAACGACGACATTTATCGCAAAAAAAGAAGCCAAAGAACGATCGCTTTACCACAGTTCCTCCATATTTATTTATTTGACCATGTCTCACTAATTTCCTAGTGTCATATCCAGATTGCAGATTGCAGGTTCTGCAGTACAGCTGTACAGCTGTTGAATGTTGATATACCCTCCCCCCCTCCAGCCACTGACCTGAGCGTCTCCACGCTGACATCAGTGACGTTGACATCATCGATGAACACGGCGCCACCACAGGTCGGGTGCATCCTGAACAGGGCGGCTAGGAGGGAGGACTTGCCGGAGCCGGTGCGGCCCACCACGCCCAGACTCTGACCGGACTCCACGGTGAACGAGACGCCCGACAGCGCCGGCCGCAGCGAGCCGCTGGGGGCGAGGAGGGACGGCGGGGAGGGGGGTCGTCAGATGGAGTGTTTGCTATGGTCTCGTGGCTGATAAAATTGTTGTGTAAATCGTACTCATGATCACTTCAGATGAACTAGTTTTTCATAAGTTTTATACGGCATTTCAGTTCAAGTAAAGCCATCCGTTGAATTCATTCAAATCTTTAACCTACGTGAATATGATCAGATAAGATGAACGCTTCACTTTGTTGCCGATATTAAATAGATAGTCTGTAGATAAATGCCTTCAATGACTCATTCATGGCTTCATGCCCATGACCTTCATCCATTCCCACATCCGCACGTCAGTCCAACCCCAGCCTCTCACCTATATCGCAGTGACACATCGACAAAGGAGACCCGTCCGTGTTCCGGCCACCCGGGCGGCGGCGGCGGTGGCGGTGGGGCGGCCGCGTCCGTCTGGTCTGAGCCTCCCCCTCCCATCCCGTCGCCGTCCCCCTCTCCGGCCGTACAGCTGTAGTGATGGATACGCTCCATGCTGACCATCTCCTTCTCTGCTCACACACGGGGTGGATGGATGGAGAATGTTAGCAGATGCGAGATTCTACGCACTTGACTCGGGAATTGGTGTGGTGGGTTACACTTCAAGCACCCGAAGTGTAACCCATCCGATCATAAAAAGGATCTGTGGATACTCAAAGCAATACAAGTACAACGGTTACAAGTAATACCACCAACGGTAAACAGACTATAGTCCAGCTAATTAAATCGTCCAGCTAGGCGAATATTACCTATTCGTGCTTATCACCCAGGGTCTTGCACTAGACAGCTATGTAAACTCTGCCAAGTCCGCGAAAGTACGGCAACCAGACCATCCTGTAGCTCCAGCTCTCACTCTTACCACAGCCAATGACTTACCCGTCTCAGTAAAGGCGCTGACCAGGCCACTAAGGAAGCCGGTGACGCTCAGTGCACACGAGATGGCCAGTCCGACCAGACCTGGCGGCGGGGACACGGCGCTGACTATGTTTCACCTCGGTGTGTAGGTATAGTTTTATTGACACAGTATAAATCATTGGTAACTGTGAGACTCCATGAGAGGACAGACAAAATTACTTCATGGCCGTTAAACGAGCTCATGTCAACACCAACAGCTCATGGTTTCAGGACATGGCTCTGGCACGTAAAGTAATTGGCATGGCCATGAGTTAATCGTGCATCGAGATGTTCCCATCAAATCAGGCGCACGTATCGATTGCACGTTCTTACAATGTCCGATTCCCAATCACCAACTACCCCTACAGCCCATCTCTCTCCCGTTTATCTCACCGGCATGCGTCTCCACGCCGACGTGGTGTTTGAGCACGGCGAGCAGCGCCACACCGGTTACCATGGAAACGCCAATCAGCTGCAGGCGGAAGTTGAGCCACGACACGGAGGCCTGCGTGGCGAACCGGGCCTGTTGGCTGGCCTCCAGACGGTGACTCATCTCCAGAATCATCCTGGAAGGTGGAGGGTGATGGGGCGTGAGGTCGGTGAGGGTCGAAGGAGGGGCTCTACCGGCTAGAATAGTGACTACACCGGCTACATCGGCTAGGATAGGAAGGAGTGCGCCAGTGACCAAAAGGGCGCCCACGGATAACGAGGGTGTCAATGGTCTGAAGAGCATCTGGGCAAATAGGATATCGTTGGCCGGGAGGTCATCAAACAGTTACAATGGCGTCAAGCCAGTAGCCACGCCTGTTAAGCAGGGTGTGACGAGCCCGAATGGGAATAGGATGCCAGTGCTCAGGAGGGTCGCCAGAGGTCTGGACCGCTATAAGCGGCCAGGGCTCAGCTTGCGCAATGGCCAGGTGGCGCCAGTGAAAGAGAGGATCCCACCCACTGTGGAAAGGAGGGTACTGCTGGCACCTGGCAGGCAGTAGCCAGACCGGGCAACAGCGGGCAGGGGGCCGTCACTAGTCAGTGGTTGGGAGCAAAATTGCTTTACGAATAGTTGGGAGGGTGTCGGGTGGCTTGGACGGAAAAAGTTGCTGGGATGATAGTCTGATCAGGCCGTAACAGCACCGCGGTCTAGGACTGGTCAAAGGCCCAGTGAATCACGGGCTGCAGTTGACTATGTGGGAGCCAGCGGCCACGAAGACGCCAGAAGCTAATGGGCCCTAGTGATCAAATATCAGTGACAAAGCGGTGCCCGTGACTATGGTGCCAGTGCTTAGGAGAGCGCCAATGGCTTGGAGGGTGTCAGGTCGATGCCTAATAGGAAGGTGCCGGTGGCTAGGGCCTAGAGGAGGACGCCGGCATGGATAGGGAGCGCTGCAGTGGCTACGAGGGCGCCAGTGTCTACAGGCGGGCGCCAGTGGCTAGGAGGGTGCAAGTGACATGGAAGACGCTCATGACCAGAGGAGAAGCGTCAGTGGCTTCGGCTTTCGATGGTCCCAGTGTTCAGATCAGCACGCGCGAGTGGCCATGGCCGCACACGCCAAAAAATAACGAATGCGCAGGTGGCTAGAGGGCGCTGGCGCCCTAGGTAAGGGGGCGCTAGTGACCAGGACTCCTGAAAGCCACGTTACTTCTTCGGAGCAGCATAATTCCGTTCTTGTACAATAGTAAAACGTTTGAAAGGAATATGCAAAGCATATCATTGGATAATGACGCATGAGCATCTACAAATGCGCTTTTACTAAGCCACATGTTTATAAAGATCTACCACTTCACCAATGCTCACAAGCCTTGGTAGCGCAGTAGGCAGCGCGTCAGTCTCATAATCTGAAGGCCGTGAGTTCGATCCTCACCCAGGGCACTGTTTTCAACAGCACCTGGCGTTTCCTGGATCAGACGGTGCACCAGCCCATTCGCGTTGGAAGGAAGTCCGCGAATGTATCGTGTCAGACAGTGTCTTTTCACAAGTCCGCGAAGACATTGCCACAAACAGCTAAGCTCTGAAGTTCAATCCGGATGCGAGTGTAGAGCACACGTCGGGCGATTTTGCAATCAGTCACTCGAACGCGGAACATCATTCAGTGCCACTAACGGCGCATGATGACCATGTAATCGATGACTGATCCCGCCCTGACTAGAAAGTACAGTCCACAGCAGAAGTAATGTGTGGTTTCAGTCATGAGTATGTTCTGCTTCTGAAGCCTAGGAACGATTAGCCAGACTGCAACGAAACTTTAAATGTAGCTTACATGTATCTTCACCCTTGCAGCTACAACTTTATCTATTTACGTCTTCTTTTCAATCAGTCCGCATTTAAAAATCGTCGATCAAAGCCATCCGTTGAGATTGGTAAAACCACACATTACTTTAGCGGTGGGCTGTACTTACGTACATACAATCATTAATTTGCCAAGCTTTTCAATTTTAACCTGCTTTTACCCTGCTGTTTGATTTTTTGCTCTGTTAGCCTTTCCTTTCCTACCCACAACTCACCTATCTCGACCCCTCAGTGCGCGCACGGTGGCCAGGCCCGACAGCGTCTCCACGAAATGGACATAGACGGGCGACAGGGTCAGCGTGGAAAGACGCTTCAGCTCCCGCGATGTATACCTGCACAAAAGGAGGTGGCTTATTCACACAGTATACGTGTGTCGACCGGTGGGTAACTACCAGGGGTACAGGTCCAGCTTAGGCCGTCATCCGCCCGGATGGGCCATCCACCACAAGCGGCAGATTATCTACTCTGTTCGATCACCGAGCCGCACGGACGGCCACCGAGAGGAGAGGCGATTTACTCCTACAAAGTTTTTTTTTTTCCATTTTTGTCCGGAAGAGATAGTCATAAGGATGATAAAAACAGATGGCTTGTTGAAGCGACGTAAGACTCTCTGAATGCGGCGCACAGAAAGATTAACATTCAAATACCGAAATCGGGATTTTAACTCGCAACGATTCAATGTTCAGGATCGGTAATCGGTATGTACATATGTATATTGTTATGGTAGTCGACTGCAGTGTTCTCGTACCTGTAGAAGTTTTGTATGTAGTAGTAGATGACTCCGAGAGGCAGCAGCAGCAGTCCCACCCACGGGAGGCTGATGACGGTCACCACCACAAAACCTGGCACACGGGCAGGGCCGCAGTCAGTAACGCATCAGTCGTAACAGTATCGCCAAGCAACTATATACACTGAACAGTTGCCTAGTACCTGGGGACATCAGCCTGGGCGCATTCAAACTAGCGGTCGAACTTGTTCGTAATTTAAGGAAATAAGAAAATTCAATAAAAATGGATGACACTTTTGAATTAATCCAGGACTGACGGATATACGATGATAAATTCGTCTGTCTTATGTCGGTAACCATGTGCCATATATTTCAATTATTGCCATATTTACGTGTAATTCGTTCGCCCGTCTACATTGAAACTTTTGTCATTTACCCACCAATATCCTCCCCCTCCCATTTCCGACCATTATCCACCCGTTCAATAACTCCCCCTCATCTCTCCGTACCTGTCAGTCCGGCGAACTGTGCCAGCAAGATGTTCAAAATGAACGGCAGAGAGCTGTCCACGGTGAACAGGTCGGAGGAGAACCGATTGACGATACGGCCCACGGGGTTCATCGAGAAAAACGACAGGTCCGCCTGCCGGGGGGAGAGAGCGGCACACAAAAGGTTAGAGGCTTGACACAGGCACGATAAACTGTTAAAATTGTGCTGAGAAAATACCAATGCGAGGTTGGCACAGAGCATGAACTTTTTTTTTAGCTAGCTCTACAATTTTCTAGCTTAACTGGACTAGCTCTTCCCTACCCGAACCACAGTATCTCCCCCTCCCCTGCCCACAGCTCCCCTCCCCTACCCACAGCTCCGCTCCCTAAAGCACCGCCCCCCCCCCCCGCCCCGGGCCACCTACCTTCAGCACCGCCTGCAGTAGGCCATCATGCACCACTCGAGCCGCTCGCACTCCTCCATACGCGAACAGGAACGACCTCATAATGGCCAGCACGGCGTTCCCAGCCGCTATACCGCCGTACACCTCGAAAAACCGCCGCTGGTGGTCGCTGCCGGCCGGCGCCGGCACGGGACCCGCCTGCAGTCGCAGCCAGAGCAGAGATTGTGGTTCTGGAGAGGGAGGCGCGGCCGTGCTGTTGGCGCCGGTGGTGGATGTGACGAAGAAACCCAGCCATAGGTCGGTGGCGTTGCTGCTGGCCTGCCGGTGAAGAAGGGAGGGGGGGGGAAGGGGGGGGTTAGGGAGGGGTTGACGAACATGGCCGGCGGACTACGAGCATGTCACAAATGTTTGGGCCCTACAGATGCTTGTAGTGTCTACGATATGCCTCCTGAGTTCGTAAAAGGAAGGAGCCAGAAGGCAAGACCCAATATCGGACCATTTTCTTAAGTTCAAGCCTCCTCCCCCAGCTCCCCCATTTTACCAAACAAATCAAGCGAACTTTAACATTGTTAGAACTTAGAAATGAAGCTACAACAGCATCAGCTTTCAAGCCTTCCTCTTTAGCCCTCTCAAACACCCCCTCACATCATGCTTAGAACTCTCGTTAGCACTTGTCATCATCTCACCTGCATGGCAGCCACAGTGAGCAGTACGATTGGCGCCAGGAGCCGACCGACAGCCCGGTAGTAGGCCTTGTACACCGGCCAGCGCACGGCGCCCAGAACCCTGTCCTCCTCCTGTACGGCGTCGGACGGCTCGGCCACAGACGGAGAGTCGTCGGTGGAGGAGGAAGAGGAGGAGAAGGTCGGCTCGGAGTCAGTCGGAGAGTCAGGGATCTCGGCGAGAATCTCCGACGGCGGTCCTGGTGAGAGGGGGAGTTTAGAGTCAGTTGGAGACGGTATGTTGGGTATTAGATTCAGATACCGCAGATTCCGCAGATTATGCCGCAGACTCTACGGTATGTAAAATCTGCGACGCCGGCCGTGGTAAGCGTAGTAATGGGTATATATGCTACAGTAGCTTGCAAACTTTGCAGAAAAAAAATGGTAAGCGAGTTAATAAATAGCAGGCTTCTTGAATCTGAGTGCTATCGGAAAAGAACGGCATCCCTTTCTTTCCCTCCCCACCCCGTGTCTCACCCTGACTGGTGACGTATCCCGCCACTCCCCACCCCGTGTCGTACCCAGCTCTCAGTAGTCTGCTGACATATCCCTCCCCTCCCCTGCCGTGTCGTACCTTGTCTGGTGACGTATCCCTCCGCTCCCCACCCCCACTCAGCAGTATGCTGACATATCCCTCCCCTCCCCTGCCGTGCCGTACCCAGCCGTCTGGTGACGTATTCCCTCCCCAGTCCCCATCCCGTGCCGTACCCTGTCTGGTGACGTATCTCTCCGCTCCCCACCCCGTGCCGTACCCACCAGTCTACTGACATATCCCTCCCCTCCCCTGCCGTGCCGTACCCTGTCTGGTGACGTATCTATCCCTCGCTCCCCACCCCGTGCCGTACCCTGTCTGGTGACGTATCCCTTGTCCATGACCACTAGGTGATCGGTGAGCCTCAGCAGCGGCCTCTGATGGCCGCACAGCACCACCGTGGCTCCGCGCAGCAGGCGGCGCACACACTGGCGCATCACGTGCTCGGCCACGCGCGGGTCCAGCGACGAGAAAATGTCGTCCAAAAGGTACACCTGTAAATCCTGCAGAGGGGGAGCAAGGGAGCGAGACAGGAAGCGTTACAAATATATCTACATTTATGCAGAAATGGATTTAACCTAAACTGATCATAACACTGGGAGGTCTCATGAACTTCTCAAGAGTGAAGAGTCGTAAAATAAATAAAAATTCCATCATGTTTCATTATCCAGCATGCCAAGTAACAACCAGAGTCAAAGCATCACGAGCAAATCGCACGCAAAACTCACGCATCAATCCACCAGACTTCAAACTCTGATCGAAACCCACCCCGCGCCGACTCTGTCCTCACCTGGTAGACAGCCCTGGCCAGCGCCACGCGCACCCTCTGGCCGCCGCTCAGGCTGGCCCCGTTCTGTGTGACCGGCGTCAGGTCACCGGCCGGCAGCGTCTCCAGGTCAGAGGTCAGCGCGCAGGCCGACACCACAGACCTGGTGGGGTGAGAGGGATGGGAGAGGTCAGACAAGGTAGACTGCGAGCCGATGAACATAACACATGCGTGCGGACATAAAAAACGCGTAACTACCTGATATACAGCGCAAATAAGCCATTGTGAGGTCATTGTAGGTGCTCGCATTTATATACATAGAAGTCAAAAGAAAGTCAAGAAGTCGGTAAAACAATACGCATCTCATTCCTAAGTCACAAGACGCAGCAAATTTTGAGTCTTTCTGTCAAAAACTAGCATGCACGGTAACATCAACGATTTGTCTCACATCGAAACCATTCCAACACAGGGTGTTCTTTACCACTCTCATCTTCCCTCCTCTCTCATCACCTGTACTTTTCGACGTTATAGGCGGCGCCGAACAGTATGTTATCCCTCACGGTGCCCTGCTGGAGCCACGGCTCCTGCGAGACGAGCCCCACGGCGCGGTGTCGGTCGGTCAGGTGTACCAGACCATCCTCCTTCAGAAGTTCCCCAAGCACGGCGTACAGCAGGCTGGACTTGCCGCAGCCGACGGGACCCATCACGCCGACCACCTGACCCTGGGTGGGCGGGGCACGGCGATTTTAACCGTCATATCATGGGGACGTCACATCAGTCGCAGCCCGGTGGGTAGGACGCGCAGAGGCGGGCTTAGTCATACAAAGTGTTTCGGTTTTATCAGCTTCAAACTCGAGGAGCGTTGACCTTCTTTTCAGCCCAAGTACGAAACACCATATACACTCCACAGTTCACCGTTTAGTTCAACTACTCTACTCAATTCATCTATCAACCGACACCATTGCTACCCTCCCTGTAACTCCCCACTACCCTTCCTCTCCCTCTCCCATACCCATCCCCCTTTCTTACCGGCCAGGCAGCCAAGCTGACGCCCCACAGTTTGATCTGATGTCGCGCGTTTCCCGAGTAGAGCACTTCAGACATGGTGGTCTCGGTCTCAGCCGAGGCTCCTGGCGAGGGCTCCTCGGGGCCGGCTGACTGCCGTCCCGCGGCTCCGTCCGATGAGGGAGACGCCGCTCCCCAGTGGAAGAATCCCTGGTGAGAGCATAGGTAAGAGTACACGTTAGGGCACCCATCACAGGCATCCAGCTGAATGTCAGATGATGAGAACACGGCAAGTACGTTCAATCACAATGAAATAAAAATGCTATATAATGACTCATCAAAGGCCTTAGCAGGACTCGGTTACAATTCATCATGCAGGCGGAATGAATACATACAGCAGTAATCAAAGGCCATTCAATAGCTCAGTCTACAATCTCCATAGTACGGACCTGGTGGATGGCGATGTCGGCGTCAGCGATGTTGTGCGGCAGATCATCCTTATCGCAGTAATACTGGTCCGGATCCATGTCAGGCAGCTGCGGTAAGGCGAGACACACAGGACGTGAAACACAACGGCTCATTTACAAACGATGTGGTTTGGAACACATGGATACCTGAATTGAATCACTAAGCAGTTAAGCACACTAGAAAACTATACATTCGGCCGGCTTCACCGACCAACCCATTGCACTCGGACTTTTGACCTTTCCCTCCAGTTCCAATGCTCCGTCTCTATAGAAAACCCAATTCCAAAACAGTGTTGAAAATACGACCCTTTTCTGGTCCCAGTCGGGTCGAAAAGATTTTGCTCTTTTGAACATATGATTTTGTGGCTGATTATTCTATAGCTTACCGGTTCTCTGGTAATATTTTATCCTCCGGGACCAGGACCGAAAGCAATAATTCCAACACTTTACCAAACCTCCCCTTCTCCACCATGCCCGTACCAACTAGGGAGCTCCACAGTGTTCACTGTCCACAGCACCCCCATGCCGCCCGTACCACCCCCGGTCTCGTACCGCCAGCAGCCGCTGCACGCGTCGGATGGAGACCAGTGAGTCGATCAGGCCGTTCAAAGCCCACGGGTAGGCGTTTATCGGGCCCTTCAGCATGTTGAGCAGCGCGATCGTCGTAAAAACCTGACGGGAGAGGGAGCCATCAGGTAATTTGGCAGTGACATAGGGCGTTGAAAAATAGTTCAAGATGAACGACATCAAATATCACTTTGTGGACAGTGGAAATAGCCATTGTCTTTATGAGGTGTTCGTGAATATTGGGCCTTTCGGATGCATCAATATAGGGGAAAAATCAAAAACTATAAGTATACACATCATGCACTTTCTTACGAAAAAGTGAGCTCCAACTATCGCATCTTATACATTCTATACAATTGGTTCCTACCGTGGCGGCGGTGAGCCGGTTTCCGAGCAGCACGTAGGTTCCAAACGTCAGCAGACACATCAGCACCGGTGTGGTGGCCCAGAAGAACACACACCACGCGTCCAGGTACTTCTGCTTCTTCAGAAAACGCACCTCTTCCGTACGACGCACTGTGGGGCGGAGAAGCAGTGAGAGATGAGACTCGGAGATTATCGGGAGTAGCTCAGTCACCCTGACGCTAGAAATCACTCAGATCCGATGCAGACTCGGTAACCACGAAACAGTAGGTATATTACAGCGAACAAGGATCAAATTGCCTTGCCATTTCGCAAACAGCATTTGTGATGTCAAAGATAATTCGTAGGTAAAAACACAACATTTCTGACGATGCTTGTAAAATGTCAATCCGCATTTTCATTATAGCTGTCTCACCCAAATCTTCAACAGCCCCTCCCCAGTCTTCCACTTCCCGACCATCGACTCACCGCCGATCAGTGCCGTGAAGAAGCTCTCCCAGCTGCTGAATTTGACGGTGCGGATTCCCTGGAGCACTTCCGAGGTCAGCTTGACGCGGTGGTCCTTGTGCTCCAGCATCCCAGCGCTGTACTGGCCTGTTCATGATGGACACGAGCACATGAACGTGTCAAAAGTCAGCAGCAGGATTATATAGACATCGCATGCGAGGAACTTTTACTAAACCATAGGAAGGATGCAGCTACGGAGCCATTGAAAAGGTGTGTAACTAATTGCCAAGTCGGGATACACGGAGTTGTCTTGCAGCCTTAAGGTGAACAATGAACATAAAGGCAATCTCAAATCGGTGGAGGCCAAGAGCGTAATGTGAATACATTCCTGCCCGGGGCTGGGAAAATTTAATGGTGTCACCGAGTTTTTTAATTGAAAGTACCGAGGGCCGATAGGCCCGAGGTACTTTCGATTAAAATACGAGGTGACAACATTAAATTCTCTCAGCTCAGGGCAGGAAGCTATTTCCCATACATGCGTAGCATGGGAGCGTTGCAAATTTTTTGGAGGAACCAAAACGCCCCAATTTCAACCTTGTTGAGTCTTTCGTGGCTTTGGTTTGTTGCGAAATAGCGTCAAAGTTTAAGTTTTATATGGTGATGTTTCACTTTATTCATGACAAATAATAAAATCCTTGCATCAAACACAATGTAGGTAGGTATATCATAAGCCAATCAAATAAAATGGACGATAGATAAAATGAAGTTATAAGGAGCAAAATGACGCCCTTCAACTTTATGATGTGACGTCATTCATAATGACGTCATACATTTGAGAGGTGCAGGAAAACGTCGAGGGGTGCAGGAAAACGTCGAAAGGTGCAGGAAAACATATTTTCCTGCATGTCTCGGAAACCAATCAGCATTGACTTCTCGTATGTTTCAAAAGTGCAGTATAATGCACGTGCCATTTTAATGCCTGGCTTTCTCGATTTAAACGTGCAATGTTGCATGTATGGGAAAACATATACCTAAGCCTGACCCGAAGTATAGATACAGCTTGAAGGGAAACAATGAAACTCGTTAGGCAATCAATCATGACCTGTATAGCTATAGTTCGTTTTTCTTAAGTTTGCCCCTCACTGTAAACGTCTTTTTGAACACAGCACGAGAATTGCTAGCTGAATTACTTAGAAAACTGGTTGGCGCACATTGATTTGACCAGATTTGACAGACGATCAATTTGATCAAATTTATTTACTATTTCACAGACTCGTAGCTCGTATTTGCCAATACCTACAGCCCCACAGGGATAGACGACTTCTCAGGGATTATGTCTGAACTAATAAATGAATTGCACGGCGCTTAACATAACGTTAAATCGTCGGTGTTCAAAGCTTATTTTGAAAATATTATTCATATCTACAATACAATGTGCGCCAACCAGTTTTCTCAGTAATTCAGCTAGCAATTCTCGTGCTGTGTTCAAAAAGACGTTTACAGTGAGGGGCAAACTTAAGAAAAACGAACTATAATAGCTATCCACTTCAAACTCATCAACCAAATCAGCCCACAAAGCACGAGCACCCAAACTACGAAGCGATCAACCCGTGATTGTGGTACCTCGGTTCACACTTCACAGCGTCTCGCCCACCGGTTTTATTGGCGATCCACTTGTTGAGCGGCACCAGGGCGATGGCGAACACGAGACCGGACAGAAACGAGACGCCGATTTGCCAGTAGAGCAGGTACAGAGTGACTCCGAACTGTGACGACACGAGGGAGACGTTGGGCGGGGTAAGATACGCCGCAAATACGACACAGCAGGGTGTCATAGCGGCTTGGTGTCTGAACAGAGAAGGGCTGGCATATGTTGGTATGGAGCCTAGAGGGATAAAAAATAGCTCAATCTGTTGCGAGAGTTACCAAAGATTATGCCAACATGAAAACACGCGTTAACAATACAAACTTGAGTAATCGTAAACGGAGTACATCAACACGTAAATCGGGGGTAGGCTGCGGCTGATACAGTAACTACCTCCAATCGTGGTGTTAATACGAAATACCAACTGATAGCCCACTCTCGTCCTAAGCTAGCATGGATTATTACCTGAACGGGCAGGCTCCAGAAGGCGTGGAAGCTGCTGCACAGGTTGACGACACGATCCGTGTCCACCGACATGAAGGTCATGACCTCGCCCGAGCTACCGGCCCGTCAGAGGTCAACTCAGGTCAGTCAGAGGTCAACTCAGGTCAGGTGCCGAACGGTCACAATTCGGGTATCCAAGAAACATACGCAGCGATTGTTGAACTTGAGTCATTGAGTGAGGACATGAACATAGGCCGAGTGCTGTTCCACGTTTTACGCACATGCAGCGCAATAGGTAGCCAGACAGAGCTGTGTACTGGACGGACGAAGGGTGTGAAGGGCTGAGCGCCCTCACGTCCAATCGTGAGTGAACTAACTAGCTCAATTGGGAGAGTGAAAATACGCCGGCAGTGAGTCACGCCAGACGCAACCGACACACGGTCCACCGCGGCTGAAACCTTCGCGCGCACAATGTGGCAACTGTCATAGACATATCATGGGCTGGCGAGCAGCTTTTATTGCAGGTTTATGCATCGTGGCAATTCACGTGAATGAGTGATAACAGCTTAGCTCTTAACTGCTAACAAGTCTTGTCGATGTCTATCTTACGTTGCTGTCCGAAAGCTGTCTAATCCCAACTCACATATTCTGTCTGTCTGTCTGACCGCCATATTTCTACCCCCGCGTACGTCAATACCCCTCTAGGCGTCCGTCCTCTTGTAAAACCCTCCCTCTCCCCGCGCCAACTGACCTGAGTCTGGCCAGCTGGGCCAGCGGCACGTCCAGGATCTTCCTGTAGATGGTGGAGACGAAGGCGGCCCGAACCTTCAGTCCCACCTTGGCCAGTCGGTAGTCGTACTGGGTGGTGCACAGCACGCCTGGAGGCGGGAGAGAAGGGTGAATAAATAGGAACCCCAGGACCCAGACATATTACCAGCAGTCTTCAGCGCCTTTCTCGTATGACTGACTAGCGAGTTATCGAGTATGGGTGCGTGTGATTACAATTTTGCATCCCGGATATCAGTCTTTACCGGTCTTTCGGCATTGTCTTCGGTAGTTTCAAATCGTAGATACAATACGAAACAGTATCTACGATGCATGATAAGCAGCTATTTCTAATCTGTTCTTATCGACAAGCCCCATCCCCTCCCACCTCCTTCGGGGCGCGCGCGATACCCACCGATGACGTTCGCAGCACAGATGGTAGCCGCGTAGACATAGCCACGCGTCATGGGTTGACGGGGGTCCTCGATGAAAGTAATGATGGCGTTGAGCAGCAGCGGCCCGGCGAACGTGGACAGGTCGGCCACCAGTTTCAGGACGCCCAGCAGGAGGTACTCGGCACCGAACGAGCGAAGCAGCACACCCAGTAACGAGACCTGGTGGTGGGAGCGAGTGAGCGGGACGAAAATGCTGTTACTGGTGCTTGTACGGCCCTCCAGATATTAAGGGGTTGGTTGCCAACATCACAATAATCGACCTGCGTTGATGAATACGTCTAATGGCTGTTGAAAACCACTGCCGAAATGTGTGCACGAACCCTCTTCTCATTTCTATTGAGTCATATTACAGGAGTGTCTCTGTCATTTAAAGTTATTACACCAAAAGCACATAGGCTAACCAACCACTCTTTTGCTGGAGGGCCGTACAAAGGGGAGGGCAATCAACTTAACATGACTCGTAATCGTATGCCTCAATGAACTCCCTGTGGGCGGTCGAGCAAAGCGATGCGATGTGGAATGTGGCATGGTTGTTATATACTTTTTTCAGACAGAAAATTAAAATCCAGGTTTGTCTAAAAAGTACATATGAATCATGATATCCAGGTCGTACTTCTGCCTATATCAGGTCAACAATAAACGAGGTATCTGAGCAGTTAGAACCCGGTTACGTTGCGGCATCGAGTTTGAGCCCTGATTGCGTTTAGTGTTCGTCTGGCGTAAGCAAACAACAAAGCCCGAGTCCTGTGAACCCACTATCGGTCAGTGGCCGGCGATGTAGGTCTGTTTGTCGCGTCATTCGTCCCGGGCATGGTACAGCTCTAGTTACAGCTGACATGATGAGAATGGCCGGACGAAGGCATGGGCTTCTGAGTCACACAGATGGGGGATGAGTCAGACCGCAGACGCCCAAAACATCGTTCAGCACGGGTGCACAACTGTCCCGGTCAGCGACTGTGCTGCACCAGCGCTGACACATCACGTGACGAATGCACCGTCAGAAGATGTTGTCCGTTCGGCTGTGCACCAAAATTTAGTTGTGTACCTACTAGTAGAGTGTCATTGGTAGACTAAATGAACGGGGATAGGTAGCCGTGCTAGGTATTTGGCTTGATTTGGTTAAACGCTATAACAGGCTGATAAAGTGGATATTACTCCCGCAAACAGATAACAAACTATCGTTTTCACACCGATTATGTCAGTAGTCTCAGTGTATCGTTTCCCCGCGTGCAGTGTTCGCCCTGTGGCGTCCCGTGCCGCACCTGCTGGCTCTCCGGCCCGGCGGCCGGCGGTAGCAGGCGCTCCGGTTCAGAGTCAGCAGCGGCAGCCTCCCTCAACTGAGCGGTCCGCCGGCGCAGGCAGGCCGTGAACCGGGCGTCCACTCTGTCCGTGTTCAGTGCCGCCGGCAGTGTGTGTAGGTCGGTGATGTCGTATAGCTGACGTTGGCGACCGCGCCGCATCAGTGGCTGCGCCCACCAGAAGGTGAGAACTGAGAGCCAGCCGGCCCCGTCCTCCGCCACACCGAGAGGGCGGCCTGGGGTGACGGGCTCAGTCACCAGGGGAGTTCGGTCCCCGGCAGCCGGGTCTTGGTCGGCCGGGTACTGCGGGAGCTGTGTGAGCAGGCGCAGCACCGCCAGTGCCAGGTAGGCGGCGTCACAGCTGAGCTGTGCCAGCGGCAGGGTGGCGCCGGTGGCCCGCCAGCGCAGCACGCTGCCGGCCAGCTGCACACCGCCCACACCCAGCAGCAGCAGCTCGGCCAGCAGCAGCGCCAGCGGGCCGCGCGAGCCGCACGGCAGCCGGTCGCGCACCGCTGCTGCCACCAGCGCCGCCGCCAGCCAGGCGAGGGTCAGCACCACGGGCGCCAGAGCGGCCGCCACCCACCAGCGGTCGGTGAGCGCGGCGAACGCGGCCAGCCGGGCGGCAGCGGCCGCCGCCAGCGGTCCCGTCAGCCACAGACGGGCGGTGACGAGGCGGCGGCCGGTCGGCGGGCGGCTCACCACCTCTGAGCGCCGCAGGGCACCGTCCAGACAGAACGCGGCCGCTATCAGGTACAGCACGGCAGCCGGCGTGGCCACCGCCAGCGCCTCGCAGCAGGGAGACAAGAAGCTGCCGTCCTTTGATAGCGGAGAGAACCGCGGCGTGCCGCACAGCCGCCGCCACGTCGCCGAATCGTCCGCCGCCACTGTCTCTTCAAACGCAAACATGACTAAAAAAACACCGTGTATTCGGCTAAAGGCCGACCGTTACAGTTTCATTGACACTGCACCTCACCAGTTGCAGTCCATGATCACTGGTACCGTATGAGCCAGCTGTCGCACTTCCGCTGCACTTCTCCAGTCAGCGCTTCACACTTCGTCTGTTGACTGAGTTCATCGCAACGGTCACTCCGTCCACTCCTTTCCGCGTCGGTCACAGCCGCTCGGTCCTCTCTGATGTACTTCTCCGCTCAGTCCCACATTCTCTCGTTGCGCAGCATCAGGCGCATAGAGGCCACGCGCACCACGGCTGGCGTGATAACACTGGTGCGCGACAGTTGCGCGACGAAGCGGCACTCGCGCAGCAGCGACGCACGGAACACATGCACACAGACTGTGACCAGGTAGCGCTGCTGGCGCGACATGGACACACCGCCGGCCAGCCGCCGACCGCGACTGTGCTCCTTGGTCGACGGCATACGGAGCGCCTCCTGCCGACGTAGGGAGGGGGAGGAGGGGTCAGAGGCGACGGCAGGGAGATTGCGGGGGGGGGGGGGGGGCGAACAGATGGTGGCGGAGCGGTGCAAGGGCGGTCACACCGTACAAGGACGATAAGGAGAGTCATACAACATGCATTATTTATTGGCCCTTCCCCTCTGCGTGAACAATGATCGGGACATTCCATCAACACCAAAATGCTGACGCCACTTGGCAACATTACCCAGCTAATAAAAGAAAAGGATATACCATAAAAGAAAAGGATATATCAACAGAAAGAATCTTATAAGTAGGTCATGCGCAAAAACCAATACATACCTAAAGGTGCACGCAACTCGCTAGGTATATGTATGGTTGGAAATGTTACAATGCTGAATGATATTTTCGGTTAGGAAAAGCGTCAAAAGTTCGGCACAACAAGGATTATTTTGCATATTTCAGCGAAAGATGATCAGACTTAGGAGCACCGAAGTGAAACGTCACATGTGACTTTTCATGTACCTGTGCCCCCGGAGCACGCTTCTCATTGGTCAATAGCCTGTTACCAGGGCGACAAAAGCATGTATCAGTATGGGAGTGTGGACTAGCGTGCTAGCTGGCCGCCGAACACTGAACAGTGCCCTGTATAGCCATGTCTCAAAAACCTCACAACTCACAATTGTCTTTTCTCAGTAAACGGAACAAAACAATCTAACCTGACCTAGCCTTACCTATTTACTACAAGCAACCGCCTACAACCTACACCCAATGGTAACAGAGCAGGTGACAATTGCTGTCTATGATAATATGGGACATAAATACCATAAGAATTAGCTTTGATCAGTGGACGGCCACTTAGAGGGACCCTCCACCTTCAAAAAAGTAAATGAATTGGCATGAAAGTGATGTCGCTCGGTTCAGAAAGAACAAAAACGAATATCTACCAAATTGCATCGAAAAATATTCATTGGTTTTCAAGATATTAGACTTTTACTTTTGTTTACCTTTTGGGATCTCCGCTGTTCCTAACGATGATGTCTTCGGGGTATCGCCTTAGCATCGACACCCCTTGAGAACCCCTGGGTTTTGGGTTTGTCTAGGCATGGTCTGGGGTATTGGGAGTGGATACAGGAAGGTGTGTGCCAGCTGTCGTCCTTGCTTTTTCGAAACGACTTTATTTGAAAGTGCGGCACTTATTGCGCGCAAAGCAGCATGTACCACTGCGTGCTACCAAACGTTTTAGTAAAAGCTTCAAAATCGTTAGATCTGCGCTGACACATTCATGTCACATGACACATGGCATGTCACACATTCAGAGGGGCATTCCAATTTAGCCCCTCTGAACCTAAGTGCTGCAACTTTGAAATGAGATATTTTCGATTTGAGGCATTTCTCGATCTCGTGGGTCGATCTTGTGAGTGCTCAAACCGGTAAGTGCAAGCCAGGGACCCCATTTTGGCTATCTCAACTCAAAACTATAAGGTGGGATGGTCAGTTGTCACTTTAACCCGGCAGGCGGTGGGCCTCCCGGCCACATTCCGCGCGGTGGGGGGTGGCATTTTTTGCCCCCCCCCCCGTATCTCCGAAAATACTTGACAGATCCGTAAACTTCAAACGGCGTTCGATAGCCCTGTCAAATTTGTCGAAGGAAACCAAATTTCATTGACCTCGGGGTCACCAATGACGTCACAGGTCAGGTCAAAGATAAAATGTTTCACCGTTCACGGGTCTTCTAGGGAATGCGCTACAACACCGAGTAAAACGGACGCCGGTGAAAACAGGGCGCCGGAGGGCATATTAGGTCACGTGACTATTGAGAAGTTCTTCCCCTCTTAATGCCTTCTACACAGTGATTGTCACGTGCTTCAATTTCAAGATCCTTGATCAAATCGCCCCAGGCGCCCTATTTTCACCGTCGTCCAGTAAAACGCATTTTGTCCAAAATCAGCGATAGGGCGTCAGTTGCCTAGTACATATGTTGCTTTTAGAGGTCACTGATAAGTGATAATACCAGGTCAGGTCACAGGTCAGCCGTTAGGTCACCAAGGGTCAGCACATGAACCCAACTTTACTAAGGTTGTGCAATGCATGTTTTATGGCCAATTTTTGATTTCCAACTCAATGGTGTTGGTTATAAGACTATCAGGTACGGTTTAGGTCACTTTCTGGTGGAGGTCACGTCAAGGTCAGGTCAAAAGGGTAAGTTGATAGTTTTGCATAAAATTGGTATTGATTCGATGCAGCTCGTCACGGGGAGTCTAATGGTGGTCTTTGTTTTGCACTACAAGGTCTAGAATTGCTAAAAATTGAGTTTGAAAATTTGACGTCCTCAATTTTGAAGTTTTTTCTCTATAACTTGGCCAAAAAAAAGAGGTATCGATCTAAAACTTGGTATGTGGATAGAGGGGGGTAGGGAATATCATATATTCCGTTTTTTTGAAATTCAAAAAACTTTTTGGATTTTTCGGCTATTATATTAATTTTTTTTGGAAAGCGTGCATTTTTTCCAGTCGGGTCTGGAGATACATAAAAAAACTGAAAGGGGCAAAAAATGGCAAATGCTTGCTTGAACTTTTCAGCACCTAAAGTAACCAGTGCTGAAAAGTTCAAGCAGTTCAACTTGTCATCACGTATTTCGGCGCTAACCATTACCAACTGACAAATAAATCAGCTAACTGCACTTTATTGTGTGTTCAGCACTCAACCGCAGTCAGCACTCAGCCAACAGACTGCAATGTTAAATTCAGTGTGATAAGTGTAAAGAGCACGCTTTACCAGAGAAAGTCCACCCCTACCAGTTTAGGTATTAGTTAGCAATAGCCAGTACAAGCGACAGAACATGAAATTTTACTGACAGACGGACAGGGGTCCATTCATTCAACGTCCCTTCTCTGACTGTGACGCTTATCTTGAATAATCAGAAAAATAGCTTAGTACCCTACCCACCTGACTTGGGTCTTGGATGAAATTGAAACAACTTTGATCACAGACCGTGCGCGCGGGAACAACACAAGATAAGGGATTTTGCAAGGATTTTGGGAACGACACACAATAAGAAGCAGTGACAAAGCATTGTCAAACGGCTATTTCGTCTGTAATATTCTTCTTCGAAACCACTGTTATAAAACATTTAAAATTCACCAATCAATAGGCAAGTTGTCAAAGACAAAGCAATCTTTACAATTGTTGCCAGGCAACGAGTCGTCAAGTTTTCGAATTGAACACAAACTCGCAGCATAAATTCAAGCGCTATAACTGACGCTGCAGCGCAGGAAACGAAAAATTATTATGGGACTTGCTGCTACTAAATCAATATACACCGTAATTTTTTGGAAAAGATTTGATCTCGTAGGTTCTGTTTTCAGAAATAACCAATAGAAATTTCAACATACATGTTTCACTCAATGACAACTTATCAGTGATTATCAATAAGCACAACCAACATAATCACACCATTTCTGAAGTTTTATTTTTAATTCAGGCTTTAGCTACAGTGTGTCAATGGACAGGGCCGAAGCGCCTGCGTACCTAGCTGTGTAGGCTTGATTTGGTGTAGGCATGTAAAGGCCCCGACCCATAGGTTAGGTACCGTCCGATCACGGATCATGCAATGCCAGATTTGCCGGGGAAGTGTTCCCTTCAAAGCCGAGCACGGCGTGAGTCGTAACCCACTCAACTTGAACTGACTTCCCCCGCGTTCGATGTCTCTCGGACGACGAAGATTCTACGTCGTCCGGCCAATCCCGTCCAAGGTCAGCGGGGGCTCGGCTGCGGTCATAGAACGTGATTGGCCGGACGGCGTAGAATCTTCGCCGTCCGAGAGACATCGAACGCGGGGTAAGTCTAGCTGCCGCTAAGCTCCAACTACCTATATGCTACTATGCGCAGACCATTGCCGTCAGGAGTTTCATGGGGAAGACGGGGGCCGCCGCCCATTGAGTAATACCGCCCACCTTATCATTTCGTAAAACAAACATCCTTAATGATCAGAATTCAGGCGCGTAACCACAACTGGGGACACTGGGGACCGGTCCCCAGTAACTTTTGGGTTACTGGGGACCGTCCCCAGTAAAACCGACGACCTCTTCAATTTGCCTAGCCAAATATTGTCTCTAGATCGACATGAAGAGTGATATGCAAGCAACGGAAGCCATTTTAAGAATGTCTTTCGACCATACATTTTTATGTTCATCATAAAACACTTTGTGTTTGTCAACAAAACAAGTTCCCTCTAAGACACCTAAAATATGTACAAAGGAGCCGAAGTTAACCGACAGATCAATTTTTTTTGATAGATTTTATCCTTAACAATTTTCCAACCACCCCACGTACCTATCTCGCCCCACATCTAAATATTATATTCGGTCTTGTTTGTTTTTTGTTTGTTTTGTTGGGTTAGGCCCTTTCGGTCAATTGTGACCATTTCAGAGCCGGATGGATGATAGGATATAGGGGGAGACATTGGTCTGGACAGGCACCCTAGTGAGTCGCCGGGGCTGAGCCCGTCCAGAGGACAGGCCACCCAGCCCCAAGGCACTCACTGCACCCGGCTACGGGGTGCGCTCCCTCGGGAGCAGCGGTACCGCTCCAAGGGAGCAGCCCGCATGAGATAAAGTTGCCTGTCCAGCCCGGAGGGGGTTGCGGCGTGGAGGAGAAGGATTTCAGTATCCTGAGGATAGAAGCATGGAACGGTGATATTCGGTCTTTGCGGCCCTTCATGTGGTCCCCAGTAACTTCAGACTCATGGTTACGCGCCTGGATCAGATTACTGTGGCATTAAAGGGACACTCCCACCTTAACATTAGTTTTGAGTTGAGATAGCCAAATTGGTGGCCATGGCCTGCAAATACCGGTTTGGGCACTCACAACATCGACAAATGCTTTAATTCGGAGATATGGAATTTCAAACTTGCAGTTTTCGGATTCTAAGGGGCTAGTGCATTGGTATGACCCTTAGAATTTGTGACGTCAGCGGAGATCTAACGATTTTTAAATCTTTTACTAAAACGTTTGGTAGCACGCGGTGGTATATGCTGCTTTGCGCGCAACAAATGCCGCACTTTCAAATAAAGTCGCTAGGAACAGCGGAAATCCCAAAAAGTAAACAAAAGTAAAAGTCTAATATCTTGAAAACCGGTGAATATTTTTCGATGAAATTTGGTAGATATTCGTTTTCGCTCTTTCTGAACCGAGCGACATCACTTTCGTGCCGATTCATTAACTTTTTTGAAGGTGGGAGGGTCCCTTTAACCCCCGCCGGACCTATTGGTTTTCTACACAGGCCGTGCGCGCCGGCTGAGGGGGGGGGGGGGGGGGTACGACCCCCTCGCCGTTTCGCCCCTGGTGGAGCTCTAGCGTGTCGCGGAAAAACGAGCATGTGCGCCGTTACGAGACGCAATGATTGATACCTACCTGATTTTGAGGTCCTAGGTCAACCGGAGACCTCGGAGGTCAGATTATGTGCCCCAAGGTACGGTTCCGTTTTTGGTGAATAACTTCGCAAAGAACGGTCGCAGAGCCGCGATTTTGGCAGCATCGTGTTTGGCTCGTTCAGGCGCGTCGAATGATATACTTTTTGTTTGGGTGAGGTCAACTTAGGGTGTTGACCTCGGGTCACGGTCAGGTCAACGCCCCCAGGTCACGAAATTGGTCGAAGGAGGTCATGCTGCATATCATTCGATTCGGTAGGTCTCCCTGAGTCCATTAGTGGTTTTTCCGACTCGCTAGCTCAATTTGATCGATCGGGAGTTGTTGACGAAAAACTAATATGACCCTAATGACGTCATAATTTATGACGCCACGCAAGGTCAACATTGCAAAAGTGAAGCATCCGCATCGAACTTTGCAAGGAGTGCATGAAATCACGATTCTATGTGCTTGAGATAGTTGGAGGTCATTCCCGGCGCCAGAATAGCAGTTTTTATTTTTCCCTATTGACTTATAATGGTGAGATCACGAAAATGACCTGACCTCATGTGACCTTTAGGAAAATCCGAGATAAAAAGTTGTGAGACAGTTAATGGATACCAGATACAGCAATTTTCTTTTCCCTGTAAAAGCTCCTCTGGCAGTGAGGGCGTTGCGAAGTTGCGACATGTGAGGACCGTGCAGAGGTTCACTTACCTATGACATCATAGGTCAGTGACCTGACCTGACTCGAAAGTGCAGTTGGTGTCAAAAGATCCGGTTTGAATCTAAGATCAGGTATGCCAAGTTTCAGCTCTCTATCGTCGGCGTGTTCGGAGCAATCACAAAAAAACCTATGGGGGGCGGCACCGCCCCTCTCCTCGATCGGCGAGGGTTAACCCGCCCCGGGCCGGTGCTCTGCGACTTCCGCGCCTGGCCGGGGGGTGTCTGAACACCTGGGCCACAGCTCCTGGGCCACGTAACGACACGCGGTAAGCGGCATTCGAAAGAGCGTCATAAATAGGGACGGAAACACTTCGGTCATTTTTTGGGTCAGGTCAAAGGTCAGGTCACCAGAGGTCATCAAAGGTCAAATGTAGTCCATTTCAACAATTTTGGAAACTGCCAGCGGCTAACTCGGGAACCAATAGAGCTACAGCGCCGCAAAAAAATGCATTTGATAGCCCTTTTACAGACCTTTCTGAGTATTGTTCTCAGATTTGACCTCAGGTCAACGGTTTAGCCTCCAGAGGGCAAAAACTGTAAAAATAGCACTTTTCACGAAAACCGTTTTTCGGCAATAACTTTTGACTCAAGAGTGCCACGACATTGCTTTTGGTAGCATCGTGTTCCTCTCGTCGAGACGCGTCAAATGAGCTATTTGTTGACTTTGAAAGGTCATTTTGAAAATTTGACCTCAGGTCAAGGTCAGGACCTGACCAGAAAGGTGCATGCTGCTTATCAGTCGATCCACATCGTCGAGCTGAATACATCTGACGTGTTTTCATTGCTCTAGCACGTCTTTATCAAAAGTTATAGCAAAAAAAAAAAACTGCTGGTGACCGTTCATGACTGACTGACATGACTGACTGAGATGACCTCAGGGGCTAAGAGTCACAGGTGCACTTTTCCGATTCAGTGTGTCATGTTTACCTATGAACCGATGCTTGAGAGGGTTTTGAACACCATTAGTCCAAAATAGGCGCATTTCAATTTTCTCCCATCGACTTGTAATAGAGAGGTCGCAAAATTGACCTGACCTTAGGTCACCGATATCAAAATTCCGAGATAAACATTTTTTACATACTGTTACTCGTATTAATCGCTGAACGTTTCAAGGCGATCGTTCAGTCGGTGTAGTTATGACGAGGATAGTGCAACTTTTTCTGAGGTGAGGTCACTTGACGAGACCTGGTGACCTAACCTTGAGAGCCCTGAATCTGAAATTTTCACAACATGTGTAAAAAAAGATGCATGAACAGGTGTGCCAAAAACGGCGGCGCTCCGCGCCTTTGAGATATCTGCGAAAAACCGCCCGGGCCCGCCGCGGGTTAATTGGTGACATGGCGGCCGTTTACACGAAAATAGGAGTATTGTAAGTTGTACAACTTTTTTGGGGTATGCGCTCCACAACATCCAAGAACACCATTCTGGGTCCACCATTGCCAATGAACTTACTGAAAATGACTATAATGAAAAATGTCCGCATGACTCCCGACAGGCTGATCAATTAGCCCAGGATCAATTAATAGTCGGTAAGGGCAGAAAGCTGGTCAAAAGAGCATTCATGAAGCGTTTCATGCAATTCGGTAACTCATTCTGAGAACACTGATCCTTCTTTACTACACGCTGACTCAGCTTCGTCGGAAGCTACTTACAAAAAAAAAAAAACTCGACCATAAAGAGAACTTAGAAAAAGGATCATAAGTGGCTGGTGACGTTAATATGACGTTCGAAATGTAAAACTATGCATTTGAATTTGGAAAACGCTCGAGAGTAGGATATGAAATTACTATCAACATTGTGAAGGTGATATTTCCGGCGCAAAATATGAGTTTTTATCTAACTCATTGAGTTGATTGCAAGGTGATGTAGTATTTAACTACCTAACTGATTTAACCTTCAGTGACCCAATGAAAAATGAGAGATTAGCTAGCTGTAAGGATCGGCGAGTTTGCTACTTCCTGACAGTTCCTATCCCTATTAAAGGTTTTCGGGTACCAAGAACGTTGCGATTTGCAATTTGGAAGAGGGTTGATAAGGGACTATACCACAATTATAGAATGATTGGCCGATACAATTATTTTTCTGTCCTATATCAAAGAGCAATGACATCAAACCGTTATTTAGAGGAAGTGCTAGATACGAAACAGAATGTTAAGCAAGCACGCACATTTATACCACATAAATGCATACAGTTTACATTATACATTGAGCGGCCGGGACGACAGGGAAGTGTGGCAGGATCCTGTCGGCCGGCGCGGTCTCCGCACACCGGGAAGTGCTCAGTTGTTGTTTTGGGTCAGAGGTGGCCCTGCGGGAGGGGTTGTTGTTTACCTGACTCACTCCGCATTCCTCTGTCGACCGGCACCGATAGTGTGACCCTTCCCCGCCGAGAGGACCAGGTCCTCAGATTTCCTCTCGAGCGTCTAGCGGTCGCTGCGGTGCTGGACAGCCGATTGGAAATCTCGGTAATGGAACCTACGGCTTTGGCGCTGAAGTGATGCACGCTTAGTGATAACATCTACATTATATAACTAAAGCTTCCTGTGCCAGCCTTATACAAATTTAAGTCTACTATATGTGCTCAAAAAGTGCGTAGATTTCATGAATCGTGAAAGCAACTTTATGGACCCATGAATGATGAAGGTATGGCAATCAAATCAAGTATTGCTTTCAAAATCGTGTGAAAACTGGTTTAGCTAAGCACTTTGGGCAGATTTTGTTCAGCATTGCTTAACTTTAGAGTCAACCCCTCTCAGTCCAAGATACTATATACTTTGCATTCCCTACTGCTGCTACTAAATCACGTTTTTATGTGATAATTGCATCCCCTATGCACATTATAATAGCCGCCGTTTTCATGACGGGGTATGATCTGGCGAATGCACCAAATTTACCGACTCTGTACCAGATCTCTTTTGCAACAAATATACTCAATCCTCATGCCATCAATTTATCTAAGTGTTTTAATCGTCATCAATGTCTGATAATTTGAAAAAGCATGTCTCTAAGCAGCTGTGAAATCCATGCTAATAGCTTAACCCGCGCCCCACTGGGGGGGCTATTTATAGCCCCCCCCTCCCGTTTTTCTGCAATAACTTCCAAACCGCTTGACGTATCGACGCCAAACTTTCAGTACCTTAGGCTGCATCAATTTGACACCTTGTGTCAAAATTTGAACTTCGTATTTACTATAGGTCGGCCGGAAATGACGTCAGAGTGACGTCATGTTCGGCCGATTTCGACGCAAAACATTGAACCACGGCAATCGCTCCCAAGAGCTCAGTTTTTAAGCTAAATCCAATTTCTTTGCATGAGAGGACTCAGAATAGACTGCGCTATCAAACTGCAATCTCGGATTTTCGAAATTTTGAAAATTTCGAAAATTTTATATAATAATATCCAAAATTTATATTTTTACATTTTTTTCAAAAAGTTTTTGACTTTTCGAAAAAAACCGGAATATATGTGATAGAACGCATTATTATGACTAACTCTAGCAAGTTTTAGCTAAATATCTTCAAAAATGGCCAAGTTTTACGCATTATTGAAAAAAATTCACAATTATTAATTTTTCAAATCAATTTTTCAGCACGTATTTGACATCGTACGCCAATATAAATAGCACCATCGTGTTCCAGAGCTCAAACTGCATCCAATAGACACCTTTTTTGTTGAAAAATAATAACTTCAAAATTTGACCTTTTTTGACCTGAAAGTGACCTAACATAAGCTAAATTCAACTCAAAATGACCTCGAATAACACAGACGACATCAAATTCGAAATCTCTGACCTAATTGGACCATAAAACATGTGTCACGTGACCGACGCATGATATAATATTTTCGTGACCTGTGATGACCTGACCTTGACCTGAAAATCAAAGTACAAGTTTGGTACCCTCAGGGTAACTAAAGCATCTGTTCCCGAGTGTGTGCTCAAAAAATGAGCCTGATCTGACTTGTAAGACGGCGGCCAGAGCCCAAAACGTGATCAAGCCAAAATGCTAATAATTTTTACTTTGACCTGACCTGTGACGTCATTGGTGACCTCGAGGTCAATGAAATTAGGTTTCGCTCGACAGTTTTTCCGGGGCTATCAGACGCCGTTTGAATTTTGACGATCGGCCCAGTAGTTTCGGAGTTAGGAGGGGGGGGGGCTATGAATAGCCCCCCCCTCCCCCCCCCAGTAGGGCGTGTTATACGCAGACCCCAGTGGGGCGCGGGTTAAAAAAAAACGCAATGAAGCTAATTTGACGAAATCTACACCAACCTTGCACCAAATCAAATGTGTACCAGATAGCCGTCTGTGAAAACGGCTATTACTTTCCAAGCTCTCTTCTTTCTGTCTGTCTCTCTCTCTCCCTCTCTCTCTCTCTCTCTCTCTCTCTCTCTCTCTCTCTCTCTCTCTCTCTCTCTCTCTCTCTCTCGCTCTCCCTCCCTCTCTTCGTCGGTGGTCGTTGTAAACGCATATATACCTAAATAAAAGTCACGACAAGCGAGACCGCACCAGAGACTGCATGTTTGAATGAGAGTGTAACACCAGTGTCCCGGTAGTGGTGACTGCAATGCTGGGTGGCACACTAGCACTGCTGCCGAAACGGCGGCGGGCAAAAACGCATGTCAGACGGTGCATGTTGAGGAAGACATGGAGGTAGGGGAGACGAGGGCTAAGCGGCTACCCTTCGTTTAAAGGTAGTGTGCCACCTTTGAAAGATTTCCCATTTTATTTTTCCTAGGATAAGAAGCTTCTGTTTTTACCTAATATCGCAAAGAAAATCACAAATGGGCCTGGAATAGTGCCTTTTTCGCCTAAAAGTTTATCGGTTTTTCGATATGTATAACAACTGTAGTGGGCTGAGCTGCAAACAGGCGTCGGCAACAATCGCGAATGCGGCGCACATGTGACAATAAGCAAAGGTCATTATAGAGTTACGACGTACGGGAATGAGTTATCAGCTGTCTAATCGTAGACAACACAATGTCGAGCCTTAAACTGTAAGCCTGTATTGGTATTGTTTCTTTTATTTGGCTGTCGAACATTATTTATGGTTTGAAATGTGATTTTATGTAAAATAATTGATATGAAAAAGCCGTCTCTTAGTTATGACCCCATTTCACCACACGCAAGTGGCAGAAATGACAATGATCAGCTGACGCATTTTTCTTGGCCGAAGTCAGAGCGCGCGGCCCGACGCACCACCACCGCACCACAAAGTATGAGCAGAAGCCGCGCCCAAAGCCAGGGCCCCGGTAACGTGAGGTAGCCGAGTCGGGGCAGCGTGCGCTGACCCAAGCCGGGGCCGCAGCTTTGGGCGCGGTCTACCGCATCCCCGCGGGCAGCCCCGGGCTATCACATGACACCGGGAGGACGCGCGGCCCCGGCTTGGGTCAGCGCACGCTGCCCCGACTCGGCTACCTCACGTTACCGGGGCCCTGGCTTTGGGCGCGGTCTACCGCACCACCTAACAGGCGTGTTCGAAACCGCAGGAGATGATGATGAACGGGTTTATCGAAACTTGATTGGATGAGCATATCGGTAATAGCGATTTCAGTGTGTGCATTTATTGTTCATAGTGGTGTGAAATGTGGTTGGGGTACGACCGACAACCCGTCGGGGCGAATTTCGCACTGGGGTACTCAAAATTTGAAGAATTTAAGACGTTTCCATGAGTTTTGAAGGTATGGATAAGTTCTAAAAATCCGGTTCTCCTTATCTGGGCCATTAACTCCATACGGTCCAGGAAAGCTGGCACACTACCTTTAAGCCCAGCACAACTGGTGTCAGCTTCAGTTCATGGTTGCCAATTATGCTTCTCTTGGTGGTTGTTCGAATGAGAACCGGAGCCTCGACCCGTTGCTATTTTTCCGTGACAGACGAAAAGGCATATTTTCTCAGGCTATTCTTTTCATCCCAATATTCTTACGCTTTTCAAATGTTAGTTTATGCCATAACCGTTTGGAAGCTTATTTATTTAAGTGTTCTCATTGTACAATAAGTGGTTATCACACATTTCTTCTGCCAACTTTAATGCGTTTTGTCCACAGGCGAATCTTTTAAAGTTTATAACTCAAGCGTCGGCATGACAAAGCAGGCATATAAGGAATTAAAGCAGCCCTAGCTGATAGCTACTAAGAGACACACTGAACCTAATTTGACCAAATTTGCACCTAATCTGCACCAGATGTGCACCAAACTTATACCAGATGGCCGTCGTGGAAACGGCTATTATCTCAATGCCCAGCTGCGACTTTCATGACACCAGTCGTAGGTCGTGGGACCAGCGGAGCGGGGGAAAGGCGGCGGGGGGGGGGGGCGGAGTGGGCTCGGGGGCGGGGGGGGGGGGGGGAGTGGGCTCGGCAGTCGGCGGCGGAGGTGGGGGCGCCACCCTGTGTGATCTCCAGTCCGCCCGCCGCCACCCTGAGTGATCTCCAGTCCGCCCGCCCTCTGCCCTGAGGCGATGTCGGCCCGAGCTCTGCTGTTGGTCGGTGCGTCGGACTGGCGTCATTCCTGCGCCGACCGCCGCCGACAGGGCACGAGTCCCTCTGAGTTCCCGACCGCGCACATCTACACTTCGAGGTGAGCTGTGAATGGTAATGACTCATATGTATACTCATATGTAGGGAACTGTGGAATATATTGGCCTTTTTTAGAAAACGGTAAATCCGCTCAACACTTCAAGCATAGTTCTGAAACTTCTAACGCTAGCGATTCGAATTTGGCCTTTTATTCATAAGCAATAACGCTTGCGGTAAGATTTCAGTTAAATTTGAAATGTTGGATGATTGCTCATGCTATTGGTAATTTTGACATTTTACAAGGGCTTGAAAAGTGGCCAAATAAACCCGCTAGCAAGATAATTTGGCCAATAGAGTGGGTCTATTTGGCCTGTGTTAATAACAATCCCAAAAGAATATATAAGGCACCATGTAAACAGGCTGTAAAAGTAACCATTTTAAGTACAAATTCATGCGAAATGATTTCGAAGAAAACTACCGAGGTAATTGCAGTTTTGACTTTTCCGAGCAGCGGCAATACTGATGGCAAAAGTTTGGCGGTAAGAGTCGTTTATCACTTGCGTTTGTATCGAGAGTACATGAACCTCCAGGCTCCACGAATCAAACTATTAACCCTCGCCCGCACATGCCATTTTCCCATCCTAGAACGCACATGGGGGGGGGGGTGGTTGCCACCCCCCCCCCGCGCCATTTCGTTCCTGTTGGAGATAGAGCTTAGCAGTAAAGACCAAAAAGATTCTTTGGGAAGAGACGAATCCAATGATACCCAGTTTTACCTTCTCAGGTCAGTCATTGACCTTCCAGGTCAGGTCAAACTAAAAAATGTTGCTGTTTTGGGTCACCGTTGGATATCAAGTGCGCTGCTTATCAAATACCGATGACGATGCTGTTTTCTGGTGCCAAGCCAGCTAGAACCTCTTTGTCACACTATCCGACCAGAATTTTGCTGCTGAGGTCATTTCAGGTCAAGTTAGGTCAAGGTCAATTATATGTGTTTGTATGTCTGTGTGTGTCTGTGTGTATACTGATGTGTGCACCGATTGTTTTTGGGTCCATATCACATGAAATCATGATCTGAGAAGCTTTTACCAAAAATGCAGTCAAAAAAACTTCACAAAAAGTAAATTCAGCTTGCCTAAAACGCAATTATCTTAGATGACCTAGGTTGACCTTGACCCTGACCTTGACCCCTGTACATCGTCGAACAACATGTTCCATGATAGGTGGGAGGTAAGACTGGCAAAAAAGGCCGAAATCAGGGTGTCAAAAGCTCACAAGGCCCATGGCAAACGCAAGATGTTGAGAATTGGCCATTTGGGTCATGACATGACCTGAAAAACAAGGTCATATCTCCGAAACCAAAAATCACAGAAACTTGAAATTTTCAGTGGACATCAAGAAAGGATAGACGAGCAGCTATACGAAAAATCAGCCTTCTAGCTCTAAAAATGTTGAGTGCAGAGCAGAAAGACTGCCTGGGGGGGTGGCAACCACCCCCCCCCATGTGCGGGCGAGGGTTAAAACAGTTACATTTAAGGCGTACCGGTTTCGTCTATTGACTTCTTCAGCGCCGTATAGTTTGATTCGTGGAGCCTGGAGGTTCATGTACTCTCGATACAATACTTGTCCATTTATAACTACATCACTTGCGTTTATTGCACATGTGGGAGCAGCCAATTTAAATTACCAATACCGGCCAATCCACCCACAGTCTCCCCAGTATGCACTCGCTCATGTGTCTGCGCCTATTGCTAGCCCACTCGATGTTTTTTTTTTTAAACATACTAATGAGGTCACCAGTCCAGTACCTTCAATGTTGTTACCCAGTACGCACACTTCAAAGCAAACATTAGCACCAGTGTAACATGCTAATTGTCATAACTTTTGATAGGCCCGGTTCCAGACCAGTGGTGTTCTTTTTGCGTTTGCAGATGAGAGGGATTCTGCTTTCCATCTGTCTGATTGGTGTGATCCTGCAGCTGGTGACCGCTCACCACGGACCAGAACATTTGAATGGTGAGTAATCAATCAGCTTCAATCGACAGTTACTTAGGTGGGGTGTAATAAGAGCTGACGAGTAATCTACCAACGTACCTAAAAAGGAGAGTGGTGAATATGCCTTGCCCTTATAATAAGTAAATTTGCACACACGGACAATGTTCTTTTTGTAGCACGATTTCTACTCGGTGGGTATTTTTATCTCTCTTGGATGTTGATGTCAAGATCTAGATCGGCTAGCTATTTCAAAGTTAATCGTATCTTATTGGTAGATGGAGATGATCACAGCCAGGAGGCCAAGTTTCTGCTAAAGCCGACGACAAAGACGCGCACTCGGACCCGTATCGCCACCACGACCACCGCGGCGTACTACTCCTGCGTGCCGAGTAAGACGAGCTTATCTGTAACTAATAGCATGTTTATCACATTTTAATGTTGTAGCATTAGCTCATGAGCCAAGTATCAACCTTTTAGCCGTCTTCACCACAGCCATCTGGAACTTACACATTTGGTGCAGATTAGGTGCAGATTTGCTGCCAATTTGGTAAAATTAGGTTCAGTGAGTTTCTTAAAAGTTATCGGTTTGGGCTGCACATATGCTTATATACTTCTTTTTAAAATATCAGACTTTATTTTTGATTAAAACACTACAGTAAATTCATGATACGAAGATAATTATTGCAGAAGAGATTTGGTGCAGATTTGGTCAAGTTTGGTACGTTCGCCAGATAGCCCCAAAAGAGATTTGGTGCAGATCTGGTTAAATTTAGTGCGTTCGCCAGATAGCCCGTCAAGCCGTTTTCACGACGCGCTATCTGGCGAACGTACCAAACTTGACCAAATCTGCACAAAATCTCTTTAACAACATATGTAATATATTCATATAATTAATTAATTTCAGTGTTTTAATCGAACGTAATGTCTAACAATGAGAAAAATCAGGTGTATATGCAACTGTGCAGCCCAAACGGATAACTTCTAAGAAATGCAATGAAACTAATTTGACCAAACCTCCACTAAATCTGCACCAAATGTTTACCAAAAGTGTATCAGATAGCCGTCGTGAAAACGGCTATTGTTAACTAGAGCCGTTTTAACGACGGACTATCAGGCGACTGGCGAGTGCACCTAATTTGACCACTGTTGCACCAAAACTCTTTAAAATAAATATCTTCGTATCATGATTTTTTTTTAGTGTTTTAATGGAAACTAACGTCTAAAAATTTCAAACAAAATGAAATATATATTTATATAAGCATCTATCCAGCCCACACTGATAACTCTTAACAAAGACACTGAACCTAATATGACCAAATCTGAGCCAAATCTGCACCTAATCTGCACCAAATATTTAAGTACCAGCTGGCCGTCGTGAAAACGGCTTATATCTACCGATCTAGGACTATCTCGCTTCTGGGAAGGCAATTGTGTTGGAAGTTTTTTTTAATTGTCAGGGTGCCGATCGCTAGGATGCAAAAAAAAACATAAGAATGTGCACTCGGTGTGGTCTTGATTCATTCGTGTACCGTTTTTTCTCTCTGTCCCCAGTAGCAACATCCGTAGGTTCAACCGCCTGCACTCGCCGTCGACGCCGCGCTCTGAGACCAGTTCACGTGGCTCCGTGAGTACTTCCCTGTTGGTTTTTGGTATACAACATTTCAGTTTTTAATCAGCTAACCCCGGCGAGCACCACGAACAGATGCTTTGAAAATTTGGTAATAACTTAAAACAAAGCGTAATTTACGCCATAGGGGAAGTTGGGGGAACGCCGAATACTTTTTTTCTGACGCCCGTAGCACGCAAGGTAGACAACATAAGCTATTCTTGTTGGCGTCATTCGAGAGGCCAGTCTTTTGCCTTTCAAACATACCAGGCGCATTTGATGAATTCGCATACCGTTAAGCGCACAAACTAAAAATATCAAAGAAGTGACTTTTTCGGCGTTGCCCCGGACTGCGGGGAAAGCCGAAAATGGGAGAAATGATCTACGGGGAATGCCGACATTGATGTTTTGCCACTTTATCTCAAACTTTATCCAGAATTTATAAAAGCTGACACGCGTTTTAAGAGCTTGAGGACGCTTGGTGCACACTGGAAGTTATAATTGTGTGATATAATAAGAAAATGCCAGGTAAATAATTCCTTATAGGTAACAGGCCGTTGTGTCGGTTGAAAGTGTAATTTGTGTGACTAAAAACTCGCGTTGCTATTCTACAGCAGTAAAGTCCACGTAGCGTGCTTTAACGTGCGTAATTGCACGTTTTCGGCATTACCCCAGCCAGCCATACTTTCATTTGCAGGCCCGCATAACTTTTCAACGTGCCGTATAAATTTCAAATAGGCAGCACACTTATGCAAAGACATGCTGAAGATTACTTGACCGAATTGGCCAGACAAACGGTAGCATAATGAGTAAGAAATGCAGCTTCAAAGGCGCATGTAGTACAAGGAACGCGTACCTTGAAAACGCTCTTGGCGCCCTCACAGCCGAAGTATTCCGAATGACGACTCGTAACAAACATGCGATAATTGTAGTCACTTAAGCCTCAGAGCATCACTGAAAGGTGGCATCCATGTCTTACGGTTTTCGAAATATCTCGAATTTCGGCTTTGCCCCAACTCCGGCATTGCCCCAACTTCCCCTATAACTACACAAACATGGAGGCTCATAAGAGATGAAAAGCTTCGAATGCTCATTGCTCACGAAGTACATCGTAAGCCGCTAGTAAGGCAAGCGTACATGAAATTGCATTTCAGAAGAATCCATCCTTATACCACTTTTTACTGAAGTTGAAAAATAAACTACGCCAATACCTTCCCTCAGATGCCATGCATGCAGGAAACCCATCATTGATTAACTCAGGTGTAGGCATGGATATAGATTTAAGATGTAAGCCAGCAATATTTGAGGCGAACCTGGCTTATCCAGACAAGATAATATTTAAATGCCTTTTAAGTAAACGTAAAGGTTAATTTACAATAGCTCTGAATTAAAAGTATATTTACTTATATTTGATCAAATATCTACATTCATTCTTTATCTGTGGTCTGTAAATATTACAACATTTTTGTAACGTTCTATCGTCTAAGAAATACAATTGCGAATACGGAATTATTTTCGTGTGATTTTATTTTTTTTCAGGAAAGAAGGACGACTGATGTCCAGCCAACAGGAAAACATTGACGTGAGTGTCGCATAGTTTGTGTCTATCTGCTTCTATTTCCCTCCCTCGCTCCCCCTCTATTCTCCCTCTTTCCCGTCTCTCTCTCTCTCTCTCTCTCTCTCTCTCTCTCTCTCTCTCTCTCTCTCTCTCTCTCTCTCTCTCTCTCTCTCTCTCTCTCTCTCTCTCTCTCTCTCTCTCTCTCTCTCTCTCTCTCTCTCTCTCTCTCTCTCTCTCTCTCTCTCTCTCTGTCTCTCTCTGTCTCTCTCTGTCTCTGTCTCTCTCTGTCTCTCTCTGTCTCTCTCTGTCTCTCTCTCTCTCTCTCTCTCTCTCTCTCTCTCTCTCTCTCTCTCTCTCTCTCTCTCTCTCTCTCTCTCTCTCTCTCTCTCTCTCTCTCTCTCTCTCTCTCTCTTTCTTTCTCAGGACTAGGTACCATGTAATCATACCGTTATATTGGCGTGTGAATATTTCACACTTTATATTACATTTTATATTTATATATTAGGCATTTCAAATATTATATTTTTCGCACTGAATATTGAAATTTTAACAATCGAGCGCAAATTTGACTCCTCGGCATCATGGTGGTGACATGTGCACCTGTGACCCTGAGGGTCAGCTGAGCAGTGCCGTGTGACCTGACCTGTGACCCACTCCGGTGTGATGTGCTGCTGCAGGAGGTGGACGGCGCGCGGGACGGCCGTCTGTTCCACGGGGCTGTGACCGTCTACACCACCGAATTTACCACGGTCACCGTCACGGCCACGTCCACCAACACGGCCTTCACCGTCAGCGTGTCGTACGGCTGCACATTGACCGGGATGGACCTACCGCCCAGCTGCTGAGCCAAGCAGAGAACCGCATACGGAGCACTGACGGATGGCTAACAGTACACAAGTATATCGTGCATACGGATGACAGCAAACAGATGATTGCAAAGAGAGAAAATGACATGCTGTGGAGAATGGAGGACTACACGCAATACAATCATGACTGCACAAGTGCACAGTTCTGGATACGGGTACGGAATGTTCAACATTCGGTCATATGGGTGTTGTTCGACATGTCACGTGCTGTCTTTTATAGTTGTTGGGTTTTTACGAGCTGTTTTATTGTTTTGTTGTTATTTGTTAATTTGCGAAATAACAAACGACCTTTATACTAACGACTGTTGAAAGCAGCCACTTAGGTGCCCTTTGTACATCGCAGTGTCATTTGTTGAGTGTTGATTTCTTTAATTTTGATAATACATCACATTTGTTGAGCTTGCAGCTGATTGTGCAGCTTGTATGCCTAATATTTTTCTTGGGTTCACCTAAGGTCAGTTCAGTCACGTGACCCCACCGTTATATATAATGGAAATGGGATAACCAAGCACCGTTATAAGCAATGGGAAAATATGAAAACTATTATTTTTACACCGAAAATGAACCAAGACTACTCAAGCACATGGACGCGTGATTTCATTTACTCCTGGCAAGACCCGCTGCCTAACTACTCGCAGATCCAGAAAGGTGGTCTTGAACGCTGCGGGAGAAGGGGGAAAATACCCCAATTTTTTTCAAATTGAAAACACTCATTAGATGCTGATTCCTTACGCACTGTTGTGCCGTTGAAAATAAGCTTTTCCTAAAACAAAGTTGCCTAGTTACGGAGCGAGCGACGCGAGCGGAGTCTTTCCTTAGATTAACGGAAATTTCTGAGTATGAGCGGCCGGCCGGCCGGCCGGCCGGCCGTGCGGACGCTTTTGCGAGGCTTATATCTCAGCAACCACTTGACCGATTTACATGCGGTAATTTTTTTAGGGTAGCTGCATTCCTTCCACCAAGTATTGGACTATTCCCGATGCATGTGGATGACCCCTTATGCACGTGCCACGTGCAAAACGAAGAGGTGTCAGTTTTGTAATTGTTGCAATATCTCGGTAACTACTAGGCCGATTGCGCTGAAAGTTGGCATGTAGATAGGCACCCACTAGGCACTGCATATTCATGTGCCAGAGTTGGGGTGCTGCTGCACGTGCGCACGTGCAGGGGTCGTTTTCAGATCTCGGGAACGGCTCGACCGATTGCGCTCAACTTTGGTACACAGTTAGGGACCAGTTAGTAGGGTGCCGTGCACAAGTCAGTTGGGACCCATTTTGCACGTGCGCACGTGCAGGGTGCCGCTTCCAGATCTCGAGAACGGCTGGGCTGATTGTGCCCAAATTTGGCACATCGCTGGAGAGCGGTTAGTAGGGTGCCGTGCACAATTCAGTTGGAGGTACCCACTCGCAATTTCGCACGTGCAAGACCCACCCTCTCGCTCGCTCCGTTAGTCGACCCAAAAGGCGTTATACTGGTTTTAGTTGTATCATTTATTCTAAAAAAAAACACGCACATTTTCGCCGATTTCGGCGCTGGGGGAGAGGACATTTGCCCCAAATGTTCCCCTTGATCCGCCAGTGTGCCTATAGCTTTGTCATTGTTAAATGTCGTGAATTCATCTTTGACGTCACCTATAGTCTGTTCCATATCAAGCTTGCAGTTGGAGTTTCTTCGGCAGATCGCTCCTCTGCTCAAGAATTTGCGTCTTAAAATGTAAGAGCTGTACATACAGAAATCATGCACTGCTTTCAGCAGGGCACTTTGGTGCAAACTTGAAACGGAACAGAGTATAGTTCATTGGAGTTTTCGTTAGTAGCTCCCGAAAAAGTTGAGTAAGCTAGTGGGGAAAGTTACTAATGAACTCCGGAAAATATGTTATATCGTATGATATCCATGTGAGCTCCTTCAAACAGCTTTGCGACCTGTGTGGCTCTTACCTGACCTTGACCTGATGTCAACACCGTACGTTGACCTCACTCAATATTAAAGTATGCTACTCGACGCGCCTGAACGTGAAAAACACGATGGTGTCAAGTTGGCGGCAATGTAACCCTTTTGGGCGACGTTATTCACCAAAAATCGCATAATTACCCTGAGCTTGACCCCAGAAGATCTCAGAAGTCACCGGTTGACCTGAGACCTAAAAACCGGATACCAGTCACTGCGTTCCAACAGCGCACATGCTGTTCATTCCGCAAGATTCTAGCTGAATTAGGGGACATGGGTGACACGGTGAAGAGTGCTTAAGTTCAGCAGTACACTTACCCTGAGCCCCGTGAGCGACAGGACCGATCGAACCGACCGAAACGGCCCCCTCTCCGAAAAGGAGGGGGTGTTTCCTCCCCCCTCCCCACCACGAATAGGGCCAGAGCGCAGCTGAAAAGCACGCCCGATAGCGCTTTTAGCGCTATTTCTGGATTTTGCCTTCAATTTGACCTTAGGTCAAGGGCTTACTCCAGAGGGCAAAAACTAAAAAAAAGCCGTTTTTACGAAACACGTTTTCCTGCAATAACAATGGAATAACAATAAAAAACACATTTTCTGTCGCGTCTAGAGAGTCACGGCATTAGTTTTGGCCAGCGTCGTGTTCCTCTCGTCGAAAAGCGTCGAATGAATTAACCCGCGCACCGACGGGGGTCTGCGCCAACTTCGCACCGACGGGGGGGGGGGGCGGATGACCGCCCCCCCTGAGATCTCGAAAACGAAGCAAGATAGCGACAAGCGGTAAACGGCATCGGATACGCACGGCCAAGATCTACAATTTTTACTAAGGTCATTTTCAGGTCAGGTCAAAGATGACGTCACAGGGGTCGAAAAAGTCAAAATGGCGGCGCTAGATATGGAGAGAGTTTTTCTCGAATAACTTTCGAATTAGTCAAGATAGGAACAAACTAAGGGCATCATCGTGATCCTCTCGTCAATCCGCATCGAATGATATATATGTTGACCTCGAAAGGTCAAGGTCAAAGGTTGACCTCAGGTCACGTGACCTCGAGGTCATCATGTATATCATTCGATGCGTCTTGACGAGCTGAACACAATGAGACCATCCACGCGTCTGTATCTTGTTCCTGTACGGAGTTATTGGCCAAAAACCTTTGGTGACCTTTGATGACGTCACATGACCTCACAGCTGCCCAACAGCAAAACAGACCTCAAGGTAGTGAAGGTTGATCGTATATGAAGTCATGTACGGTATATGGGGCCATTCCGACCCGTTTTAGTGGTAAAAACAGGGAGTTGATTTTTCCCCCATTGACTTATAATGGGGAGGTCGCGAAATTGACCTGACCTTAGGTCACCGATATAAAAATTCCGAGATATACAAATTGTAGCTACTAATGACCTAATAATATCCTGCGACTTTCAAAGGCCTCCGACATCTACTGTAGCTCTGGCACGGTGACAAAGTTGCAAAAAAGTGACTTGAGGTTGGGTCATTCAAAGTGACCTGGTGACCTGACCTTAAAAGGTAGGAGGTTCAAACTTGCACACCATGTGTAAAATTGATGAGGTTATAGTCATACCAAATTTCGCGGCGCTACGCGCCGCGGTTTTCCCGCTATTCGCGAAAAACCTCAGGGGGGGGGGGCGGATATCCGCCCCCCGTCGGTGCGAGGGTGAATTAAAATTTGACCTTGAAATGTCATTTTGAAAAGTTGACCTCAGGTCAAGGTCATGACCTGACCGGAAAGGGTGATGCTACACACAAGTCGATCCGTATCGTCGAGCCGAACACGTCAGTGAGGTGTTTACATCGCTCTAGCATTCTCTATCCAAAGTTATAGTAAAAAAAAAACTGTTGGGGACCTTTCATTCCTGATATGACGTTAGCTAACCCGCGCCCTGCTGGGGGGGGGGTGTTTGAACACCCCCCCTTGTGGTTTTTTGCGAATATCTCAAAAACGGCGGCGCGGAGCGCCGCCGTTTTTGGTACACCTTATCATACATCAATTCTACACATGTTGTGAAAATTTCAGACCAAGGTCATTCAAGGTCAGGTCACCAGGTCACTTGAAGTGACCTCACCTCATAAAAAGTTTCAATGTCTGTCATACCTATGTACACCGAGTGACCGATCGCTTTGAAACTTTCAGCGATTGCTAAGAGCAATAGCATGTACAAAATGTATATCTCAGAATTTTGATATCGGTGACCTAAGGTCAGGTCAATTTTGCGACCTCCCCATTATAAGTCAATGGGAGAAAATTGAAATGCGCCTCCTTTGGACGAAAGACATTATAAACACTCCCAAACACTGAATTACAAGTGGTTTAGACAGACTGAACATGAAAATGGTGTCCGTGACCCCTGTTTATGCCCTGAGGTCATCTTAGGTCACGAATGGTATCTAACAGTTTTTCGCAAATAACTTTTGATAGAGGCATGCTAGAGCGATGAAAACGCCTTAGATGTGTTCAGCTCGACGATACGGATCGACTGATATGCAACATGACCCTTTCCGGTCAGGTCATGACCTTGACCTGAGGTCAAATTTTCAAGTTGACCTTTCAAGGTCAAGTTATAGTTCATTCGATGCGTCTTGACGAGAGGAACACGATGCCGGTAAAAGTAAGCTCGTACAAGGCTTGGGTCAAAAGTTATTGCAGAAAAACTGTTTCCGAAAAAATCGGCTATTTTTGCAGTTTTTGCCCCCTGCAGGCAAAACCGTTGACGTTAGGTCAAATTTGAGAGAATTACTCAGAAAGGGCGTTAATAGGGCTATCGAATGCGCTTTTCCGCGGCGCTGTATCTCTATTGGTTCCCGAGTTATGCGTTGGCTTCTTGGAAATTGTCGACATTCGACCTGGAAATCGGCGAAATTTTGCCTTCAATGACCTCTGGTGACCTGACCTTTGACCTGACCAAAAAATTGACCGAAGTGATTTCCTCATTATTTTTGACGCTCTTTCGAACGCCGCCTTCCGCGTATCGCTACGTGGCCCAGGAGCCGAGTTAGAAGGGGGGGTGTTCAAACACCCCCCCCCCAGCAGGGCGTGGAAATCCAGGACCCCCAGCAGGGCGCGGGTTAGGGGCACTACGAGCGGTCAAGGGGTGTAATTTTAGGATTTAGTGTGCCCAATTTTTACCTGTAGATTAATATTCCAGTGTGTTTAGAACAACGCTCGTTCGAAAGAGGCACATTTCAATCGTCTCCCATTAACTTATAATCCGCGCCCTGCTAGGGTGGGGGTGGGAGATGGGGGGGGGGGGGGTGCACCACCTCCAGTTTTGCTCATCTTTCCTGCACATTCTGTGAAACTTTCAGACCATGGTCACTAAAGGTTAGGTCACTAGGTCACCTCAAGTGACCTCACCTCATAAAAAGTTTAAATGCCTGTCATACCTATTCCGAGTGACCGATCACATTCATGTTGCAACTTTCAGCAAATAATTA